GTGTTTCAGGAGGGGGTGGCAGGTCTTTAGGGCGTCTCCTTTTGCTGCTCCCTGCCTAATGCCTTTCTTCAAGAAGCCCTTGAGCTTGCTCGGGACCTCTCGTTTCCAAAGCCAAGGCGTTCTGCTCGAGTTTGGGGTAGTGCCCACGTGACGTTTTGGATTGGTCTTGTCACAGGATTCCCGCTTGTGGCGAGTGAGGGGGTGGGTGGTTATCAGCACGAGCGATGTGCTTTCAGAGGGTGTTTGCAATGGCGGCGCGGTCTTGTTACCTCCCGGGATGGCTGCCGGAGAGGCTCCGGGTGCCCTTCTGCTCGTTGCGCCGCTCTGTCGCGCCCTGTCCTCGACGCTGGGTGTTTGCGAGCGGTGGGGTATGTCGGCACAGCTCAGGAGGCCGGCGTTCTGGTCTTCGCTGTGTACGCGTGTGTCAACAGCCGTGTGGGTTTCGCAAGAGCTCTCCCCAGCATCTGATGGGAGGGAGGTGCGGAAAAGCTCCTTCCTTTTTGAATCGTCGTGACTCGGGTTTCCCGGCTTCTCTCTCGCCTTTTCTCCCGATAGGGATAGCACGGCAGCAATGCCGGCCAGCGCAAAGACGTGGAAGCTGCGGGGCAGGCGGGCTGGCAGCTGGGAGGCTTTCCTGCCCCATCGGGAGGCAGGCGCAGACTCCGCATTCTTGTGGCAGTGTTGGGAATCTGTGTTATCGTCCTTCGGAGCGAGCGGGAGCATGATTCACCAGAAAGTCCTCCGGGAACGCAGCGGGGGTTTCAGGTTTCTTGAACTATCAGCTAGCGATTCCGGGATTGGGAATATGTCAGCCCAGTCTCTCCTCACCCGGAGCTTCCTCCTCCCCCTCTGCTGCTGTTCAGACCTTACTGGAGGAGATTTACTGAAAGCAGTTTTTGTTGTTTTGTTTTGAGGTTTCTTGTCTGCTAAGGTCCCGGTCTTTGATTGAAAGCTGTGGCTTTTCAGATGTACCCAGGCACCAATACTCTCTGCATTTAGATGTAGCGCTTTGTTCGACAGAGATATTTATTGTGCCTTGTAAGCCTCCCTCCCTGCGTGAGATAGGCTGGCTTTTCCCCCCAGTTTAATGAGGGGGGAATCGAAGCACCCAGAAACAGTATGTGTTGCTCAGGGTCACTTGTGGAACCGGTGGCAGCTGGTGGTTAGGAGCCGGGACTCTCGACTCCTTGCTTTAACCGCTGGGAATTACGTTTGCTGTTGTCTTTCAAACTACTGGGCTGCAGCGGGTGTGTTGCTAAATTGCAGAGGGAGCCAGGTTTCTATGCAATCTCCTTTTTGTGATGTTCTTTTCAAGATGTTTTGGATTGTTTGTCTCCCCGTGTCAGCGTATCTACTTTCTAATTAATTCTCTTCTGTGGCCCAGATGTGTGGCATGCCTGCTGGAATCTAGTTTGAATCTGGGGGCGTGTGCAAGGAGCTTACAGCAACCGCGATGCCTATCGGCATGCTGCAACCAGACAGATGGGAGGCCGGGGTGGATTCCCGCTACGCATCTGCAATAGGATCCAACTGTTGCTACTCCCGAAAGCAGAGCAGTCTCCGCAGGCAGCTGCCCCTGGCATTTTTCCCATTAGGAATTGGGAGGGGAGCGCAATCGGTCTCGGTGAAGACGGGAAGAGAAGGGCTTCCCAGGGTTGAGCCAGGGTCCCCCACCAGCCCAGAGTGTCTTGCTGTCCTTTGAGTGGCTGAGGCAAGGCGCTGGAGCTTCTCGCCAGAGCACCAGCCCTTTCCCGGAAGGAAGGAAGGAAGAAGATAGGTGCCCCGAAATGTCCTGGAGGGACCTCCCAGCCAGTGAGGCTTATCGGCGCTGCAGGCAGCATCTGAAGGTTTCGTCGTGGCGGCTGCCGGGTCCTTCGGGATCGATGCGTGTGTTCCCTGCAATCTGTCCTGAGAACCAGAGGGATAGGCAGTACATCTTGAGCGTTGGTCTCTGGACTCTGCAGGTGTGGTCTTAGCGGGGCCCCCACGTTCTTCCTCCTTCCCCAGGGTATTCACAGGCCTGTGCTGTGCTGTACTAGGGTTGTGCTGCAATGCTGCCGGGCATTTACGTTTTTGGTGAAGCGTTTTGGGATCTGTTCTGGGTGCAGTATTGTGCCCAGGCAGGCGTGCCACAGGCAGACCTGCGTCCCCCAGCCTGCCGTCTGTACGGATGGCAGTGGTAGCACTGCCCGGGCTGGTCCAGCCGCGCCCTGGTGTCAGTCGGTTTGTGACCCTCAGGACCGCGGTGCGATGTGTTGCAAAGGATTGCTGAGTGCGGCGCAGCGGGCGGGGGCTCTGGGCCACCGGCGGCGGTAGCTGCTGCAGGGCTTGCTTTCTGGAATGCTGTCTGGCAGCAGCCTCTTCCAGCGGGGCCGAAGGCTCCCTGCGGCTGGCCAGCCAGCGGCTGCAGGCAGCGAGCGTGCTTAACGCTGCAGCTTGTGCCATATGGACCTTCTCCTCCTCCCCGCTTGCCCTCTCCGTGTCTCCTTCCCCGCTCTGCTCCCCTCCCCCTGCGAGCGGTTTGACAGAGCATTTGGGCAGGCGCTGGGACGGCAGCTCTGACATAAATCTCTCCTGGTGTGGAATGAGGGGTATAAATATCCAGAGAGTGATGTGATCTTTCCAGCTGCTATTAATAGGTCCCTGGAGAACAAGAGCGAGCGAGACTGGCTGACACTTAAAGGGCTAGCAACTCCCTTATGTGCTGTGAAAATTAATCAGCGCTGTGGCTCACCATCTTCCTTCAGGCTAGAGCAGAGCCCTCGCCGAGGTGCGTGGGGAGGAGGCGGAGGAGGAGGGAGCAACTAACAGCTTGCTAGTTAGGAAGCGGTGATAGGCCCAGCCGTGCACCAACGGTCCCACTAACTAACTGGGAATGTCTGGGCGGGCTGCACGATAGCGCTGTCTGGGCGGGCTGCTCTCGGTCAGGCGCCGCGGCGTGCCAGCCGGCCGCCGGCTCAGCCTTGCCTCGCAGGGGGGCAGGTGCTGAGAAGTCCCTTTTGCAGGCAGGGAACTCGCGGGCGGTGGATGGCAAGCCACAGCCTGCGCCCCGTGGCGATCGCCGTCTTTTGGGGATTACGGGTCTGCCGACTGTGCTTCGCTCTGTGCTTGCGTGCTGTTCGGGGTACAGCGGTCTGTCCTAGCAGAGCGAGCGCTTGGCTTTTGCCGACGGTACGTCTTCAGGCCTGCCTTCGGCAAGCCAGGAGCAGGGCGCGTAGCACTGCTGAGCCCTTGCGGCGCTATTTAGAGATGCGGGGTTTGGTCTGGAGCCAGTGCTTCCTGTCCCTGGGTGGCAGGAGAAATCTGTGCGCAGCATCTGGCCTGCGCAGTCCAGATGGGAGGAGCAGACCATGGGCCCAGTAACCCTCGTGTGCTGGGAAGTTTCTCTGCCTGTGCACGGGAAAGGTTCGCGAGTGCATTGTGGGGGCGTTGTGCAGAGCGCATAGCAGAAGTAAGCAAACAGAGAGTAATCCCTCAACTTCCATGAACATACGGTTTACGCCCCTTCCCCCCTGCTTCCCAAGAAGTAGAGAAGACTGGCAGGCAGTTGAGGGGTCTCTGCAGCCTTGGGCTCACTGGCTGGGGTAGGGAGGAGGCCGTAGCGGAGGAACGTGGGGATCTGACGCAGGAAGAGTTACGTGCTCTAGACAGAGAAAGCCAGGAGTAGTTCTCACGGGACTCTCTCCGAGGGCTTAGCAGTGAACGCGGTTCGGGCCGGAAGAGTCGGTGTGCGAGAGCCATGCCTGACGGTCAGGGATGTCCCCTGCCCGCTCCGGTAGCCCCTGAGGCGAGGCTGGCTGGTGTCCCACGCTGCCTGTCGCCTGTTGAAGAAGGCCCCTTGCTGCAAGCAGGAGGTACTCGCTGGCCAGGAGGAGTGCGCCCTGCAGTTACTGGGGCTGTCTGTTGAACCTAGGTTCGGTAGCGGCCTTCCAGAACACATGATGTGCTCAGGTACTGTGGGGCCGCGTCCCAGTCGCTCGCCTCTAGCAGCCGTGCAGGGCTCCGGGGGGAGGAATCCCAGCGCGAGCCTGAGAGACTCTGCCAAGGCAAATAGCTCCTGCAAGGAGGGCTGCCGCAGCATTGCTCGGCTGCATGCACATCCTCCAGCCCAGAAGCCTGTGCGCTCTGCCCTAACCACCTCTTCCCCGAAATGCTCTGCCTCAGCCTGCGGGGCTGTTCGGAAAGCTGGGCTGGGTCTGGAGCGGGAGAGCCTCGCCCTGCTATCCCGGCAGGCCCGTGGCATGTTGCATCATCCTGCTGGGCTGGAAGCTGCCACTGAAGTGGACGCTCCCTTGTTCAGGGCCTTGGAGCAGGAGCCACAGCAGTCCCTCAGGCCCCTGGGAGAGTCCAGGATGCCGCTTCGCTGAGGAGTTGCCTGCGCTTCCCAGCTCTGCCCTCGCCTTGCAACCCACCGCCGCCGCCTCCTCGGCTGCTTCTTAGTCCTCCCCTGCCCCATCCCATGCTTCCTCTTCATAGGCTTACTTCGAGACCATTTGCGGTCGTCTCAGTTGCCTCCTGTGTGTTTTGCAGAGCAGAGGAAACTTCCTTGGCAGCAGAAGGGGTCCCTGAAACCAGTAGGGCACCAGATTTCTGTTCAGGGTCACAAAGTTGTCTGAGCTCTGGGAACACCTGCAAAAGAGCTCTAGGGATCCTTCCACTTGCCGAAGGGCCAGGCTGGCATGGAGCACCCCGTTCCCATTGTGGCCTCGGAAACGAGGGCTCTCGTGTCCCTGCCCGTGCCTTGAAGCGCTGGCAAGCCTGCCCCGCCAGGGTGGGAGCTTGCTGCTCGTCTGCACGCAGCTGGCCGCGGAGCAGGCTCCTCTGCTCGGAGGGGCCGGGGCTAATTTCCAGCACGTGCGGCTCCGGGTTGTGCCTCTGGCAGGTTTTGTCTGGCCTGGGGACCGAGCGGCAGCCCCAGCACCCCGGCCCTGGGCAGCGCCCCTGGCCGCTGCGCCCACGTGAGGGGCACCGCGCTCACTCGCTGCCCTCTTGTCTTTCAGGTTTCTGACCAAAGGGCCTGGGAGCACCCTCCACTGGCGCTGTGGGAAGCTTTAGCTAATCCAATGCACCCTGACAACAAACTGCCCAGCCATGGCAAGGCAGGCAGCAGCGGTGCCCCGGCCCAGCACCACAACGTGAGCCAAGCACCCACCTGCAACCTGGGCTCTAAGGGTGTGGGGACGGGCAGCCATGGCGGCAAGGCCACTCAGATCTCCCCTGGCAACTCTGGACTGAAAACCAGCCAGAACGCTGTCCCAAACTTCAGCTCCTTGAAGGGCAAGGTGAAACGGGAACGAAGCATCTCGGTGGACTCCGGAGAACAGCGAGAAGCCAGCACCCCCTCACAGGACGCAGAATCTAAAGGTAATACTCTCCTAAACCTTGCCTCAGCACGTCCTTCTTGCAGTTGCTCCGAGCGTCCTGGCAGGACCTGGGATGGGAGCAGCTGTGAGCATCTTGGGTTTCTGTGCTGTGGCTTCTGTCCGGGCTTGTCCTGGCTGCTTCCGCATCTTTGCATCGCTGCTTGTTGCATCCACAGTTTTGGGACCAGAGTGGCTGAGCATTGATTGTCTTTACATTTCATTCCCTAAACTCTTGGTTACACTGAGATTCGGGGACTCTGGTGTGTGGGGGCTACTGAGGCCAGCAAAGCACCAGCACAGTTGACTGGAACTGCACCGAACGCCCCTGCTTCTCAATGTGCAGACGTTCAACTTGGGACCGAGTCGAGTTGTTTTCTGTCTCCTCGCTGTTGGCAGAGAGCTGCCTTTGTGGTGTTCTCGCAGCTGCCCCACGACTTGGTCGTGGTTAGCGAGGAGGTGCTGCGAGGGTCGCTGTCTGAACAGTTCTGCGGTTTCATCAGCAGCGGATGACTCTTGTGTTACAGCACGTGGCTTCTGGAAAAGGGCTGAAAGGGCTGAGTCAGTGCTTCCAAACCCTCTCCGGCTTCCCTGTCCTCGCCAGCCTTCCCTGTAGCCTCTTGTGCTCCTCTGAGCTCTGCAGTTGCCGGCTGCACGGGACACTTGAGCATCTTGCAGGGGGTTGTCAGAGGAGAAGTCCCAGTGGTGCCCTTGCTTCCAACCGAGACTCGCACCCGGTCCCCAGGCGTGGAGCCGCCGTTCTGGCTCGCGCTCCTAAGCAGTTACTTGCACAGCCGAAGCTGTGTCGTTTGACTGTTTTAGGCCAGTGTTGTGCCATGGAAGAACATACCTAAGTGGGACCTCCTGCCCCCAGGAAAGCTCTCCCTCTGTTGCGTGGGGGGGGTTACTGTACGCCACCAGTCATAAGCACTTGTAGCTTTATCCCGGTACCGTCTCGCAGCCCAGACTTACACAGGAAAATGATGAAAATGGCTTGATCAGGACTGCCCGAATCTCTCCTGTTCCTGCTGCAGTGCACCGATAGATCATCTGAATACGGCCTGGAAACCACTAGATGATGTGAAAAAGGGAGGCTAGGCAGTGTTATATTCCAGTTAAAGCAGAGGACTGGAAGTTACCCATCCTGTGTCTGATTCCTTTCCCTGAGTCCCTGGGTGCCTTTAGGCAAGCCGCTTCTTCTCTGAGCTGCGTCTGCCTCATCTGAGAAGTGGAGGGAGCGTCTGAGTTTACAGAGGGCGTAAGGGCCCCTGCCTGATTGACGTCTGCGAGGGGTAGGGTCTGTCTCTTGTTCCTACAATGGATGTGAACGTGCCCTCCCATTCCATTTTTAGGTTTGAAGCGCTAAATCACAGACCCCCTTAAATTCAGGGTTAATGCCCAAAGCTCTCCTGTTTGGAACAGCAGTTGGACGCGTCCTGTGTTCGCAGACTCCTTTGACAGTAAGAAATACATGTCATTCTGAAGCGCTAGCTCTCACAGGGGAGTCTCGGCAGGTCTGGCTGCAAAGACAAGGAGCCCAGACTGAGCAGATGCTTCAGGATCTTTACCGGTGCTGGGCAGATGTCGGTGTAAGGCTGCTCGCCCGGCGCACCCTGGCTGGGTTGGCAGTGCCGGCACGCTGCGCACAGCTGGACAGGGCCCCAGCCTTCGCGGCCCCTGCCGGGTCTCCTCAGGTCTTCTGATGGCTCTGTCCCCTTGCAGGTGAGGTGGCTCCCCGTAGCAAGCGACGGTGCGTGCTGGAAAGGAAGCAGCCGTACAGTGGGGACGAATGGTGCTCTGGGCCGGACAGCGAGGAAGACGACAAGCCCATCAGCAGTGCACACAGTGAGTGTCTACCTCCTTAGCGGCTCAGAAGCTTGCATAAAGCCAGGCCCTTGCTGCGGCTCCGCAGGGCGGATGGCACGGCCACCTCTAGCTCTGCCTGCGTGTGCTGACTTAGCTGGGTGTGCGGAGCGGTGGGCCGTCGCGGCTGGCGGTCGTTCTGCTGGAAGAATGTTTGCGGCCATGCGGTGCGGTGTGGGAGCTATTTTGTGGCGATGCTACCAGGGTTCTGGAGGAGAAGGTGCTGAGCTCGAACGTCCCTGCTGCACGTGGCTCTGGCCAGACTAGCAGCAGAATTGCCACCTTGGAAGCATGCCTGGCACAACTCTGGCGAAACGTGCCTACGCTGGTCCTAGAGGCAGCCAGACCAGACCATGCAACGTGATGTTGCGGCAGCTAAGTCCGTGCCAGGCCATCCGCCCGGCTCTCTGCAGCTGTCCTTTAGAGGCAACTGAGTCGGAAGAGGCTCTGGGGGTCTTGAGAGTGGTTCAGGCAGGGCTGAGCTGGCCACAGGCCTCACCGTTTGGGGCAAGAAACCGTACGTTTCTCCTGTTTTCCGAAAGTATCGGATCTCTGATTTCTTTTGTACCTAGGATTCAGTTTACTTTCAAATTGCAACAGGGAGAATATCTGAGAGAACCTGAGGGCAAGGTCCTGTGGGGCCTGAGGGCCGCAGCTTATGGTTTCATGCGCTTCCATGTTCTCTAAGTAGAGGGTGGCCTTTGTGCCTGCCAGCGTGCTGCAGCCATCCTCTCCAGGGTGTTCCCTCGTGCTCCTCTGCCCGGCCCGTAACCCTTGAGGGAAGCGATAGTGCCGCCTCCCTGTCGCGGCCTGCTCCAAGATCTGCCTGCCGAGGAGGGGTCAAGCCGGGCTGTCCCTGGGCAAGCGCCGGCAGCGAGGCGGCGCGAGTGTCCCCACGCCAGATTGCCGGGGCTGTCTCTTCTCTCTAAAGGCTGCTGTGCCAGGCTTGGGCCACCGGCGCTCGCGTTCATGAGGCGTGCTGGGAGGTCTGTGGTGAGAGGCTGCTGGGGGGGTGTTGTGTGCGAGGAGCTAGGCGAGAGGAAGGCGCTTGCCTGCTCCTCGTAACGGCAGTGCTCAGTTAGAAATATTCTTTAGTAACGGCTGACGACAAATAGTCGCCACTGCGGCGCACAGCACCCCCTCTTCCCCCGCTCCCGGGGTGTCCGTCCCAGGCGGAGGGGAGTGCCCGGGCCCCGGAGGCGGCGGTCCCCCGGCCCCGTGGCAGCGGCCGGTCGGGTGCTGCCGCCTGCCGGTGGCCCGGCCCGGGCCCCTCCGCTGCCCGTGCCCGGCGTGACTGCCCCGTGGGTCTCTGCCCCGGCCCGGCTCCCCCCTCCTGCCCGTTCCTTCCCGGGGCGCGGGCAGCAGAGCCAGCTCAGGCTCGCCTGCTGCGCTGCCTTCAGCAGCTTGTCCCCTGTGCTCCCGCAGATTGTAATGTAGCAGATCCTGCGATGTCCACGGCCTCACAGCTTGGCCCAGGGTCCAACCCGCTGCCCAGCCTGAATGAGAGCAGTTCTTCCAGCGTGCCTCATGGTGCTGCCCCCGGCTTGCGGTCAGACGCTGCAGGAGGTGGAGGTGGTGGAACAGGAAAGCAGCCTTCGCAGTTCGTTTACGTCTTTACAACGCACCTTGCTAACACGTAAGCGGTAAACCCTGTCCGTCCTCCGCCGGCGTAGGGCCGGCCTGTCACACCTGCGTGCTGCGTTTCGAGTACAAGAGGACAGACCCGTGTCTCTTTGGTTGCGCGGAGCGGGTTCCCCCAGGGGTTCAGGAAGTTTGCTGGCCGTTGCTGCTGGTGGACAAACTTCGTCTTAAATGCACGTTTCCTTCCAGCGATGCCTGGCACTGTGCTCTGCGACATGTGCCACAGAGCCTACACCCGGTCGTCATCTGACAAAAAGATTCTCCCGAAGCAGTATGGACGGCCAGTCTCATTGGGAAATACCGAAGCGGCTGGGTGTCGCGGAGAGTGCCGTGTAAGGCTTGCTGTTGGCCACTCTCTTCCTCCCTTCCGCCCTGCATTGTGTCAGCTGTGGAGACTTATCGGGGCTGTTTAGTGTTAGAGCTCTGCTATGCCACGGCTTCAGGGCGGTAGATCCCGGAGCCTCTCGGTGACGGTGAGGGCCACCTTGGGGCAGCAGGCACAAGGCGGAGCCAAGCACCCAGCAGGGGACTTGGGAAGAGGGAAATTCCAGGGCCAGTGATCATAAGCTGGAGAACCTCACTGAGGCCTGTGCGTGGCAGGGGCCAGGACTCTGAGAATATCCCCCCTTCTCGGTGACCTCCGGAGATTTCCCTCGGGACTGAAGGAGAGAGGTGGCACCTGGGGCCTGGGATGGGTGGGATGGGGCACGGTGCCGGTTCTCGAGCGGGTTTGTGCTCTCTCCCCAGAGCTGCTGAAGCTGTCCTGCAGGGCCGAGCCGACTCCATTCTGGCCTACCATCAGCAGAACGTCCCACGGGCAAAGCTAGACCAGGTATACCGGCTACGAACCAAACGCTCCTGTCGGCACGTGCTACCGACTGCTGACCCTTCCCCTGTGAGGCGGCCGCTCTCCCGCAGCTCCTGGCTCAGCGGTGGAGGAAGGGGTTGTCGGAACGCGCTTTTGGTAGGGTGGGAAGCCGCTCTGCTGCGGAGCCTCTTCGGAGCGAGTCCTGGCTGCTGTCAGCTGTGAGAAGTTTGGGATGGGACGTGGCGTGTGGCCCTGCAGCCACGTGGGCAGAGTACCTGATTGCGCGTTTCCAGGGCACGTAATAGGGCCTGCGATAGGCCCTGCGTCTTCCCCACGCGGAATGAAGGTGAAGTGCCGTGGGGCGTGTTTTTGGGAGAGAGAGATCTCCTGCAGGGTGTGGGGAAGAATACCTACCTAGGCTTTTTCCTCCTGCTCAGGTTTATTTCCCTTTTCTCCGCCAGGCACCGGCTCCTAAAGTGCTGGGGGTTGCTGAGCCGCTCCCGATTAACCCTCCTGCTGCCAACACTCCGCAGTCCCAGCCGCCGGCACCTCAAGCAAGTCAGGCACAGCCGCAGCCTCCCCCGCCGCAGCCTCCGCCCCCACCTCAGACCATCAGTCAAACGCCTTTGCCCGCGCCCAGCGGCCTGTCCCAGGAAGGGACCAGCGAAGATGTCCGCAGAGATCTGACTCCCAATTCTTTGGGGAACAGCGGCGGCGGCACCCAGCCTGGGAGTAACCACCCAAACACACCCACTGCCTCTGCCAACACCATGCAGCCCGGGCAAGTGGACGCCTCCGCCACACCTGGCTCTGGCCTCCTCGGGGAGGGCCCGGGCCCAGGGATGCCGGGGAATGGGCAGGCAGGCCTGGGCCCCCGAAACCCCCTGAACTCGGAAGGGCTCTCAAAGGAGCAGCTGGAGCACCGAGAGCGCTCTCTGCAGACCCTGCGGGACATTGAGCGGCTGCTGCTGCGCAGCGGGGAAGCCGAGCCCTTCATGAAGCCCGGCCAAAACGTGGGTGAGGGCGGGACTGCCCCTCAGCCCCAGGCTGCCCCTACCCAGCCCCCCGCGCCCCCCGCCAGCATGAAGAAGTACGAAGAGCCTCTGCAGTCCATGATCTCCCAGACCCAGAGCCTCGGTGGGCCCAGCCTGGAACACGAGGTGCCCCACCACCCAGGCGCTGACATGGGGCAGCAGATGAACATGATGATGCAGCGGCTGAACCAGGACAGCCTGACGCCGGAGCAAGTGGCCTGGAGGAAGTTGCAGGAAGAGTACTACGAGGAAAAGCGAAGGAAAGAGGAGCAGATTAGCATCCACGGCCGGCCCATGCAGGAGATCATGATCCCGCAGTCGATGGGGAGCATGATGATGCGTGGGCCCCCGCCACCCTACCACAGCAAGCCTGGCGAGCAGTGGCCGCCGGGGATGGGCAGCCAGCTGCGGGGACCCATAGATGTGCAGGACCCTATGCAGCTGCGGGGCGGGCCACCCTTCCCCGGGCCACGGTTCCCTGGGAATCAAATGCAGAGAGTCTCTGGCTTCGGAGGGATGCAGAACGTGCCCTTGGATGCTCTCGGGCCCATGAATGCCATGCAGAGGCCAGTTAGGCCCGGCATGGGATGGAGCGACGATATGCCTCCTATGGGAGGCCCCGGGAACTTTCCGCAAGGCACCCTGCCCTACCCGTCGGGGCAAGGGGACCCCGAAAGGTTCATGAATCCCCGCGCCAGGGAGGAGATCCTGCGGCACCAGCTGATGGAGAAACGCCCCGTGGCAATGCAGAGGCCGATGGGGATGTCCGGCAGCTCCATGAGCCAGGGCATGGAAATGGAGAGGATGATACAGGCTCACAGGCAGATGGATCCATCCATGTTTGCTGGGCAGATAGCCGGGGACAGCCTGAGCAGTGCCCCGCTGGGAATGGATTTTGCTGGCACTCGGGGGATGCTGAGCCCCCCTATGAGTCAGTCGGGCCTTCGGGACATGGATGCGCCCATGGGCCCCGGCAACCTCAACATGAACATGAACGTCAACATGAACATGAACATGAACCTCAACGTCCAGATGACCCCGCAGCAGCAGATGATGATGTCGCAGAAGATGAGGGGCCCCGATATGATGGCCCACCAGGGCGTGAGCCCCGAGGAGCTGGCCAGGGCCAGGGCTCAGAATGGCAACGGCAGTGCAATGCTGGGGGGACCCCAGAAAATGATGATCCCCTCACAGTTCCCCAACCAAGGACAGCAAGGCTTCTCGAGCGGGCAGGGGCCCTATGCCAACATGCCCCAGGAGATGGGCAGCGGCTCGGACATGTTCAGCCCCGAGCAGGGCACCGTGCCCGTTGGGAGCATCAGCGGCACCACCAGGCTCAGCCACATCCCCCTGCCTCCAGCCTCCAATCCCACGCCCACGCAAGGGGGCAACCTGGCCAACATGCACCCAGCACCTTCCCGGGGGCTGGGCCGCCGGCCCTCCGACCTCACCATCAACATCAGCCAGATGAACTCCCCCAGCATGGGTCACCTCAAGTCTCCCACCCTCAGCCAGGTGCACTCGCCACTGGTCACCTCCCCCTCTGCCAACCTCAAGTCCCCGCAGACACCCTCGCAGATGGTCAGCATGCCGCCTTCAAACCAGTCGGGACCCCTCAAGTCCCCCCAGGTGATGAGCTCCTCGCTTAATGTCCGGTCTCCGACTGGCTCGCCGAGCCGCCTGAAGTCCCCTTCTATGGCTGTTCCTTCCCCGGGTTGGGTGCCGTCTCCCAAAGCCGCCATGCCCAGCCCGGGAGTCAACCAGAGCAAGCAGACTCTCAGCATGAACTCGTCGACTTCCATGGGAGGACTGGAGCAGGGTACGCCGGGCATCTTGCGCGCGGGGGCGCGTGCGTGCTGTGCTCGGTTGCGGTGAGCGTGCGGACAGTGTTTCTCCCCAGCCCGCGGGCTCTCGCGGGAGCGGGGAGATGCTCGTGCCTGTGCGTGCCCTCGCGTCTCGGGGAGCGAGGCGGCTTTCCGCCCGGGTGTCCAATAGGGTCTTTTTCAGGCAGATGGGAGGGCAAACAGAGCAGCTTTTACTTCAGGCCCGTCTCACGCTTTGTGGTACAGGGGGCAAAAGATGCGTCTGTGCTGGGCAGTCACGGGCAGTTTGAAGAGGAAGCCCGTCACCGCCCTGGAGCGGGGTCTCCACGTGAGCCTCCGCAGAGCCTGGAGGGTGCTGGGCTGTGCCAGCTCTCCATTTGCAGCCTCCGCTGGTCACTGCCGTTGGAAGGGGGGGGACGGGGTCACCGGCTGATGGGAGCAAGGCATGGCGTGCGGGCGTTACTAAGCTGGTGTCTCTCTTGCTTGCAGGTTCTCTCCCTTCTGGGCCTCGGAGCAGCTCTTCCGCACCAGCCAGTAACACCTCTAGCACCATGAATCCCAACATGCCTTTTACTTCCTCTCCAGATCCATCCCCCTCCCAGAACCCCCTCTCGCTGATGATGTCTCAGATGTCCAAGTACGCCATGCCCAGCTCTACGCCGCTTTACCACAATGCCATCAAAACCATCGCCACCTCTGACGACGAGCTGCTGCCGGACAGGCCTATGCTCCCGCCTGGAAGCATGTCGGGTACGTGCTGTCGGGGCTCAGGCCGTCTCGTGGCTGCCAGCAGGCCCGAGGCGCCGGGTGGAGGAGGCGTTAGAAACGGCGTTCTCCCACCGCCCGCCGTGTCGCCGGGCTGAGATTTGCCCTCGCTCGTAACCGTCTGCCGTGTGCCCGGGCTGTCCAGCAGCGTTTGGCTTGGGCTGCGCTGCCTGGAAGGACGTGAGCCAGTCTGGCCGTTGCGGCACCCTTCTTCCACCAGCTCTGGGAGTTTTTGGAGCTACCTTTGCCCTGCGCAGACCCGCGGGCCCTGGGTTTTCATGGCCCCTGGAGTTGCCTCGGGCCCAGGACTTGCAGGCAGGGGTCTGCTGCTTGGAGCCCTCGTGGCGGCGTGCAGCAGGTCGGGGACGCTCTGAGCGGGGTTCGGGAGTCTGGTGTTTGGAGTGGAGCCCGAGTGCCCGCACGGGCAAGGCCGTGTCGTAGCGTGGTTCTGATTTCTGTAGGCGACAGCCAGATACGCTCCGCTAGCTGCCGGCACTGGTGAGGCCAGCTAGGCAAATGAGTGGGTTTCGTCACTTGGTGACCAGCCTGAAGGGGAATTCCAGCACACTGCACCGCTTGATTTAGGGCTTTAGAGCTGCCTGATAAGTATTTCTGGCAGTTTTCAAAATGAAAAAATTACCTTTTTGACTCTTACGCTGCTGAGTAGTCGCTTAGGTTGACCGCAGGCACGGATGGCTCTGCTGTACCGATGAGCGTAGTCCTCCCTCTAGGACAGCACCTGTGTCTGCCTGCCAACTCTCGGGCTGTTGGTTTTTTTCTCCCTGCCGCCCAAGGCCGTGCGGCCCCAGGAGCTGGCGGGCGGGCTAGCCCTGCAGGCAGGCAGCGGTGAAGGGTCGCTCCTCGGTGCTGCTTTCTGGGCAGCTGGGAGGCCTGCTGAGGTCATGGGCTAGGGCTGTCGCAACGTGCAGAGCCAGCCGGGATGCCGGAATCAGCGAGCTGTGAGGAAGTACAAATCCGGCCTGGGCCCAGCCGAGGCTGGGATAGCTCTCTGCTGCTCGCGGGCTTGGGGCACTGGAGTCCGGGGCACTTTTTCCTGACGTTGGTGCTTTGCGAGCCCACCGTGCAGCTGCTTTTACTGACTGTCATGCTCCAGGCTCGGGGCCTTCTGGGCAGGAGCGCTTGGCGGGCTTTCGGGCTGTGGCTTTTGCAGCCTTGAGAGATCTGTGGGCAGAGCGACCTCATCTCTTTTTCCTCTCCTTAGGGGTAGCGGGGAATCAGCCGAATCAACTGCACTTGAACTCCGTGGGGCCTGGATCCTCGCAGAGCCCCATGGGAATGAACCTGCCTGGTCAGCAACCCCTCTCCCACGAACCGCCCCCCACCTCCATGATGTCCTCCCCGAACCCTCTGGGCTCCAACATTCCTATGCACCCGAGTGCGCCGGGGGCGGGCGTGCCCCCCCAGAACCCCATGATGCTGCCCCCGGGGCCCCAGGATTCGTTGAACCAGCAGTGCGGCCCCGTGCCCAACAGTTCGCAGATGATTCCTTCCAACCAGCTCGTGTTCCCCCGCATGCAGCAGCCCCACAACGCCATGCCGTCGCCTGCTGGGGGCATGCCAATGGCCCCCGCCGGGGGAGGCGGAGGTGGCCCTGGGATGCAGCAGCATTACCCGCCGGGCATGCCCTTGCCACCCGAGGACCTTCCCTCCCAGCAGCCCGGCCAGATGCCCCCTCAGCAGCACATGATGGGCAAGAACATCCCGCCTCGGATCGGCGAGCCCTACCCGCCCGTGCTTCCCGGGGTGGCGTCGGTGCTGAACGACCCCGAGCTCAGCGAGGTCATCCGCCCCACGCCCACGGGGATCCCTGAGTTCGACCTGTCCCGGATCATCCCGTCGGAGAAGCCGAGCAGCACCTTGCAGTATTTCCCCAAGAGCGACAGCCAAGCACCCAAATCGCAGCCTTCCAACCTCCACCTCATGAACCTGCAGAACATGATGACCGACCAGCCCCCGGTGCGGCCAGGTATGAATGCCCCCAGCCTCCCCGGGCAGCAGGGCGTGCAGCGGGGACTCAGCATGCCCATGTGCCATCCTGGACCAGTGCCCATGCTGGGCAGGACAGGCATACCGCCCCAGCAAGGGATGATGGGCAACAGCATGCACCAGGGCATGATGTCTCCGCAGCAGAGCCTGATGGCCCAGCAGAATTTCATGCTGATGCAGGCCAAGCAGAGGAGCATGTCGGTATCGGGGGAGATGTATGCCCAGACCGGACACATGATGTCACCTCAGGGCTCTCTCATGGGGCCCCCGCCTCAGCAGAACCTCATGGTCACGCACCAGATGAGGCAGAGGAGTGTCTCCCTGGACAGCCAGATGAGTTACATCCCCGGGCCTGGGAACATGGCGAACCTGCCTTTCTAACCCCGGCTGACGCTCAGGGGTGGGGAGGGGACGGGGCCGCCTGTACGAACGTTTTTAAACCTTTTTTCGGGGGAGGGTTGGGGGCCAACGCCAGTGGAGGACACCACGTGGGATGCTTTTCATATCGGATTCACCTCTACACAGAAAACCAGATGTGCAGTAAACTTGATGTGAATTGGGTTTGGGTTTTCCTTTCTTTTCTGGGGAAGGGGGAGGGTGGAGGGGCTGGGAGTGGGGCTGTTGATTTGAACCCTGCGTGGTGACCGGGGACATCCAGACCCTGTGGCAGTTTGTAAAATTTCGTTTATGGTTTTCCTCCGTCAAGTGGTTTTCTTTCCCTTTTTTGCCTCTCTCTCTTTTTTTTTAACTCTTCCTTTTTTTTTTTCCCTTTCCCCTTTTTTTTTTTTTTTTTTTTTTTTCTTCTTTTTTCCCCCTTTTTAAGCAACCAAAACGTGCAAGAGGGTTTTTGGAACTAGCTGTAAATAGGTCGCTGGGAAAGGCAAAACTTGTGCTGGTTTTTAATTGTTCTGTATTTCTGTGTTTTAATAGAAGCCTCAAAACATGTTTTAACAGAAACAGAAACAAAGAAACATGCTAAAGGCAACGGTGTACAAGGATTGAAAACTCTCCCTGGGGGAGGCAGGAGGATCCCCCAGGGTGCGCAGGGCATTGAGAGATCCCATTGTAGAGTGACTCTGTGTCAAACCTGTGTTGTTCACGCATCTGAACGGTTTGCATGTGCGGGGTATATAGTTTCACGCAGATCTTAGGCCCCTGTGGAGGCTGTGCCAAGTACACCAACTCAACCGAGGACCAGAGGGGAGGGGGGTCAGAGCTGTGGCCCCGCTGAAACGCTGCCGGAGCAGAGGCCGCAGCTTCGCGGCACACGGCCCTCGCCGCTCCGTGGCGAAGCTGCCGCGGCTGGGGCGGGGAGGACGCCGGCCCTGCGGCTGGAGAAGCGGCGAGGATCTGCGCCTCGCAGAGGATACCCCTGTGGGCAGGGTGCTGCGGTGCCTGGGGCTGGCCGGGCTCCACCAAGAGCGAGGCGATGCGTTCCTGTGCTTCCGGGAGAGGCGAGCTGGGAACCCTGCTCTTTTGCAGCCTTCCTACCCCGGTCCCTTACCCATCCACCGCCCTCCGCGACTGCGCTGTGTCCCCTCTACCTCTGCCATTGAATGCTTTCCCAGATCTTCCTCGTGCTCGTCGGTCCTCCTTCTCTGGAGTTTCACAGGCGCTCTTTGCTCCATCTCGCCCCGAGCTAGCGGCCTTACTGCGCAGTAGAGGTCCGGCCGTCGAAGAGGACCTGTCCCCGCGTGCAGTGCTCCGTCTCAGTAGAAGGGTTGTCTCCCCCGGCGTCAGCAGCGCGGCCCATCCTGTGCTTTGGACAGAAGAGGCCGAGGTTGTGTTGCAGACCCTCGTTCCTCGGCTGGCGGAAGGGTGCCATTCAAGCAACCCTTGGCTTTTCTGCTTGCGCTCCGCCCTCCCTGTCCTCCGCTGCGTAAGGTCTTCCTGCACGCGGCCCTGACGGGGCTTTCCTGTGTTTGTTCATGGAGGGGACTGTGGGGGTGACGCGCCTGTGCTCCTGCAGACACGGCAGGATCTCTGGACCTCCGCGGGGACCGCGTTCCAGCATGGCGCTGCCCTGCGGGTGTCCGGCAGTGAACTCCGGGCATACAGTGGCCGGGGGAACACCAGTGTGGAGGATTAGCTCTGCAGAGCCAGACTTAGCATACTACCTCTCTTGTAACAGAGCTCACCTTTCCCCGCTTGCTACCGCAGGGAAGGAGAGGGCTCTCGGAAGGGCAGATCGACCGGGAGCGAGCGAACGGCAGCGCTCTTCATCGCGTTGCTAGCTGGTCGGAAAGGCGGGCAGGTGCCGAGGCGCCAGCCCAGCGTCTGTCTTGATCCAACCTGTGAGAAGATGGAGCCGCAGCGTCCGGTTAGGAACGCCTTGAAGCGTTGGGGCGTTTTGTAGCGAGCGGTACCGGGTGGGAAGCGCGGGTCCGGATTCGAGGAAGGAGGATTTCATTCCGGTCTCCTGCTTTGTGTGGTTTTGTTCTGTACGGTGTGAGCAAGCAGCATTTCTCAGAGATGGCAAAATGGGAGCCGTCCCTGGAAGTGCTCGTCCCTGCCTTGGCAGCTGGAGCAGAGGAATAACCCAGCTCAGGCTAACGAAGCGTGCTTTGGACCTGACGGGTCGGCTGGTGGGATTCTCCGTCCTTTCAGAGCGTGCGTTTCACGTGGGAGGATGTGGCTCGAACAGATGTAGCTCTTTCAAAGCGTGACTTGCCTCAAAGGCTGTGGCTTCTCTTGGCTGCACTTGGGGGTGTCAGCTGCTGGTAGTTTCTCGTAAACATCCACATGCCAGCCCCGAACCTTGCTCATCACCCACCAGCTAGTCTCGGTTGATTTGAAGCCATAATATTTTCTATAGGGAAGTTTTTTGTTTGTCTGTAGACAGCTGTTGCGTTAGCCCCGGTGAGATCCCCACGTGTCCGTACCTTCCCTGTTGTCCCTTTCACCCGGACTGACTGAGAAGTTGCCCAAGGCTTGCGCTGCTCGCTCGGTCGGCGGCACCTTGTCCGAGTTTCGGCCGGAGCCCGGGGGCTGTGGCGCGCCGCTGCGCAGCGCTCGGGAGGTCGGCGCTGCCTGCTTGCAGGGACGGGGGGGCGCAATGCTGTTCCTGCCGGGCGGCGGGAGGAAGACCTGTCCTTTGGTGGCAAACGAGTAAGAAGCAAAGCCTTTTGCCTCGGCAGCCCTGGAGACGAAAGGGAAATCCCGACGCCAGGTCGGAGCTGGGGACCTGGGAGCAGCCGTCGGCGCTCTGCCGCAAAATCCCACTGCCCTGGAGCCAGCCCTACCCCCTGCCGCCGCGATGGCTGAACGACGAGCGGGGAGAAGTAGCGCTGCCTACCAGCCCTCGGCCCCCCGCACGGCTCCCAGCCGCGTCTGTGAGCAGCAGTATGGCAGGAGCTCCTGGGGAAGCTCCGCAACAGCCAGTCCTTGTCAGGCCTGGGCGGGCTTCGCCACCGGCCGGTTGCCCGCTGCCGTCAGCTGTATCTAGTCTCGTGTCTTGTAGTTTATTGCTCGGCTTCTCAGCTTGAGTTCTGTGTACTGACTCCACCTAATCACAGTAAAGGGTTTACCCATGTTTTAGCCATGACTTCGCCATGTTTTCCCAGCTCCAAAAAAGTGAACGCTGGGAAACCGCATCTTTCAGTACGTCAGATAATCACACGCCCGGAATTAGCTTTCACGTTGAGGTAATGGTGACTGACCTGTTCTCTGTCATCCCATGGAGAAACTTCCCCAGTCATTTTGTACCATTATATAAATATATATATAAATATAAATATATAAATACAATATGTGAAGACATCTTATTGGTTTTTATTTGAAACAATTTTTAGGCTTGTTTTTGGGTATCTGTGCTGCCTGTAATGTATTGACCTGTTTTATAGGTGCCTTTTTATTAAAAAGACAAATTGCAAAACTTGCCCCTGTGCCTGTCTTCAGTGGGCTGCGTGATTTTCTGTGGGGCTGTGAGCAGGTGTGCTCAGTCACCGTCACCTGCGGCATGTTAGGGCTGATCAGGGGGGCTGGCCCCACTAGAAACGCCTTCTGTCAGGTGGGGGCTCTGTCGGGCAGGAGAGGATGAGAGAGGAGAGGAGCTCAGCTCTCCTCTCCGGGGGTGTGGGAGTCCTCCGTGCTGAAGGCATGCTGAGACTTGGCTGCGGGTGGACTCTTCTGCCTGAGAGATTGAGGCAGCCCCCTCTCACAGTGGGGTCACCTGTTTAGTGCCTGCTGCGGTCTGGACGGTTCAGCCCTCCTCAGCCGCTTGCACTCTGGCTCCCTGGCACGGAACGAGCCCCAGCCGTGCAGCCCGGAGCACTTTGTTACTCTACGCTGGATTTTGCTGCCTAAGTGCAGCCCGTGCTGGCTGTTCTCTCCCATCCTCGGCCATGCCAGCCTGCGCTCTAGCTCCCGTCGCTTGAAACGGATCATCTCTTCTAGCTGTGGCAAACGGGAGTCACGAGGCAAACAGCCTCCTTTTCCCCTCCTGCCTGCTGCTGGGCTCCGCAGCCGGGGCTGTCCCGGCGCTCGTCTGCTCCCAGCCGCTTGTGCCAGGCAGGAGAGCTGCGGGCCCTGGGGCCGGGGTAGCGGGGGGAGAGGGGCCCCTCCAGCTGAGCTGCAAGTGCAGCTTTCAGCGCTGCGCATCCCATCTCCCGCGGCTTCGAAGCGGTTGCTGCATGCCTCTGTCTGAAGAGAAGCTCCTGCCCTGTGCGAGATAGCTGCGAGCTCCTTGGAGGTGCTGAGACGCCCGCGCTTGGTGCGGACCCAGCCGGCAGCGATCGGCCCCTGCCGCTGGTGGGCACTGGAAGCTGGGCCGGGACCGGGGAACCGCCTTCGCAGGACACGGGACAGGACAGTCCTCCCAGGTAGGTGGAGGGGCATGCACGGGGCTGGTGGGGGGCTGGGCAGGGCCACCCTGGATGCCTCGTAGTCCCCGAGCAGGACTGCAGAGCGGGGAGGTGACCTAGAGCAGACTGACTCCAAGCTGTCTGCTGGTGCCTGGAGCCATGCAGTTTCCGCTCGTTCTGGGCATCTCGTGGCCTGGGAAGGCTCGCGTGCGTCGTAGCTGCTGCGTGCCTGCCGGGAGACGGAGCAAAGGCAGAGCACGCTGTGAGGGCAGCAGAGCGAGAGCCCTTTTCCTGGGGGCTCAGAGAGAGAGAAGGGTCGTGCTGCTGTCTGTCTGCAGAGCCGGGGTGGTGTGCGTGGCGTGCTGCCCAGGACCTAACTCGTGGGCCTTGGCGTCGTCTGTCGAGCCACCTGTGCTCGAAAGAAGACGAGGCAGGCAGCAGCACTGACCCTGAAGTGCTCCTTTGCTTCTGGGAGACTGGGGCGTGGGCGTAGGTCGTTGCCTTGATAAGGAAAGTGAAACTCTGTGTGAGTCCCAGCAGAGCAGGGGCTGCTGGGGATGCTAGCGGGGGTGCGAGGGCTGGGGAGAGCCCCTTCTCTGCAGCGCTCCCAGGCACGCGTTCGTTCATGCGTTCCCTGGGTCCTGCTCGATGGTGCACGCTCCGCTGCCTGCCAGGGCCGGCGATCACTGCGCCCGCGTAGCAGGGTGCTCCTCTGAAACTCCCCAGCTCTGTCTCCTGGGAGGCTCAGTCACCCCACAGGAAACGCAGAGCGGCGTGCTGTCACGAGGGTCTTTGTGTCCGCTTCTTTGGGGTTGCCTTCAGCGGGGACCGAGGCTTTCTCTGGGTTGTTGGCCCCAGCCTTGTTTGCAGAGCACAGCCCGGGGCCAGGGTTGCAGAGCACGCGCTGCGGTCGACGGTGACGTGGCCTGCCCGCACGCCACCTCCCCACTCCCTGCGGGAGCCGCCCCGGAGCTCCCCTCGGCTCGGTCCCCCTTCCCAGCAGCTCGGGGGGGGGGGCAGGACCCATCTGCCTCGCTGGGTAGTGGTGGGCTGGAGGCCGAGCAGAGCTCCGCGGGGGAGCCTGAGGGTCTGCCCGAGGGCTGCAGTGTCTGGGGGCGGCTGTGATGGTGGGAGCGCTGAGTGGGGAAGCCTGCTCTGGTCCAAGGCATGTGACGGCCATGCAAACTGTGGGGAGACGGGGAGGATTTCACCGAGTGGAAAGCCCAGCTTCCTCTGCGGCGAGGGAGAGTTCCTCTTGTTTTTTTTTCTCGTCGCCGTTCAGGGGGCTGGCTGCAGTCAGCCGCAGGAGGAGCCACGTCTGCCCTTCGGGGAAGGATCTGCCAGCTCTGAGCCAAGCCTTCCCTAGGCTGGCCGAGCCGAACGCAGGTGCAAGGGTGGCTTCCCACTCGCCTTAGCAGCTGCTGTAAAACCAGGGTAGGAGGTGCTGCGGTTGGGGGAAGAGGCTCTGTAAAGCAAGGAGCTGACAGAGGTCTGGACTGACTCCGAACACAACAGAGCCTTCGGCGGCAGTGGCGAAGGGAAATCTGAGCAAGGGGCTCTTATGAGCCCTGTGGTCCCTACGTGCGAACAGCAATGCTTGTCAGAAAGGTGCCATCGACCCGCCTAGTGCTCTCTGCTGCATTTCCCTTGCAAAAGTGACATGACTGCAGACACCTGCTTACAAACTCTCTACACGAGAAGGCAGAATTTTATTTAACTGTTTATTACAGCTCACGTCGAAACTTTCTAAAAGTTTACCAACATACCAGTGCTAGGAAACACAGTAACAAGAGATGCAGAATCTGTTCGCTTTTATTTTGTGTGCAGTTTTTCTTTTTACCTTGTGAGTGCTGTGAGAATTTTACACTCTGGTCATTTCTTCAGTAAGATTTCTGTGTAGGAGCACAGTTCCCATCGGAACCAGAGCTGGGGAGGTGTTTACAATGTGTTTGCAATGCGTTTGCTCACCCATCCGACCGTGGAGATAGTGAGAGCGGGCTCCAGAGAGCTCCCCTTCCTCTGCCGCGCACGTGTGCTTGGACACCTACAGTCGCCATTACCCGCAGGTTTCGGCTTTGAAGGTGCAGGGCTGGAGGAAACAGTGGACTGCTCTTTAGGTAAAAGCCCCGTGCGTGGGGAGTTTTCTCCTCGAGTCACGATTTGAGCACGAGCTATTGAGATCGCTGCTTGAGCTGGGCTGAGGTAAAGTGACCCCTTCTGTAACGGTTGGTCTTTTTAGCAGGGCCCTTGGGTACGGTGAAGTTCAGCTGCGACCAAGCCCTTTGTTAGTAGGCTGAACTACTACAGAGGTGAGTTTAGCACAAAATTCCTGCTGCAGCAGGAGAAAAGCCGTTGTTCTGACTTGGCTTAAAAAGCGAGGTGACTGGTGGGGCAGCTTTTAAAGCGTGCCCGTGATTAGGGCCGTGCTCGTGCGACAGTTGGTACGCATGGCTTTCGTACGGTTCGGACCGCAGCTCTGCTCAGCTAGCGAGAGAAATGTGAAAGAGCAAACGCTGTGTATGTGCTGAGATACTGTACTGCGACGAGAGCTACTTGGAAGCCAACAGGCTGCCCAAGTCCGCAAGGGCTGCCCTGCACGCCAGCCTGCGGGGAGATAATTAATGGCGGTGAGCGCTGAGGCTCTTCTTCCGGACCAAATTTCTATCGAGCGGCCCCGATCTGAGTAGATGCTGGATACTCATGGTTCAGGGCAAGGTCAGCGCCCAGGTTGGCTCTGTGTAACCCTGGATGCACTAAACCTCTGAAAGCCCGGTTGGGTGGAGCAAAAGCACCGGAAAGCGCAGTGCAAAGCCAAACGCTACGTTCCCTCTCAGCCCGCTAAAAACGAACAGAAATGATGCAGATTACCTCTTTTCCTTACTCTGGGGCAGTGGGTCTCGGAACCCACCAATTCCCGTACAACTAGCTGCAAAAAAAAAAAAAAAAAAAAAGAAGTTACACCTTCAGCCTCGCGAAGCTGCGTGGTTCATCTCCCCTGTGCCCAGTGACAAGCCAGAAGCCATCCCTTCAGACAGCTTTCTTCCTTAAAGGAAAGCTTTGAGATAGTCAGGCGTTCAGTTCAGCGGTCGCCCACCAGAGCTCTTAACAGCAGTAAAACGGATCAAATGAGCGGGAAGGGATGAGGCTGGCGTCAGGAAAGGAAACCGTGACAGTCAGATCTTTCAGTCCGTGGCAGGGCCGCCTGGCATGAGCCGTGTTGGGAAGATCAACGTGCCGTGGCTGGCCGGGGGCGTGTCGCGCAGCAGGAGGAGCAGTGTCGCAGCCAGAGACCTTCCAGCACCGTGTCATGCTACTGGAGCGATCTCTGCATCCCTCGCTGGTCCTACCTGCATCTCTTGTTCCAGTCGCTGTGGCCAGTGAGTCCTGCTGCTTCCTTTGGGCATGTCTCTACCAACCTGAGCCGGTGAAACGGAGACCCGCTTAGCTTTTGTCTTCAGTCCTCGCTCGCTGACGCGACTCCACGCTTCCTTGGCCGCCCCTTTTTCGTTGCCCCTGGCACCCCAGTCTAGTGCCTGGCTCCGTGCGCAGGACACCTGCGGTCAGTTTCTCGAGGGAGAGATGGAAATGTCAGGTTCAACCGACTCTGGTTCGTCCGGCCCCACCAGAGTGACCGTCGGACAGCCAGCGTTCACCAACAGCTGCCAGACGGATTCCTACAGGTATGAGAACCAGGAGGAGCTAAGGGAAGGTGTCTGGTGGGATTTGGGTGTTTGGTGGCTCTCGGACCTCAGCTCCCCGAGGAGTGAAGGAAGTGGTGGGGACGCTTGTGAATCTTGGGACTGAGGCCACAGCACGTGTGCCACGGGGAAGGCAAGCCTCAGGCCGGTTCTGCCCTGCAGGCAGCCCTTCCCGGCTAGAAAGTGGAGATGGAGGTGGTGTTGTCAGACTCGATCCCGCTGCCCTTCCTCGTCACCTCCAGGATCTCCTGCAGGGTCTCCTGGCTTATGCACCCGAGCTCTTGCAGGATCCGGAAGAAGTCGTTCCGGAACTTGACTCCGATGAAGGCATAGAGGAGGGGGTTGAGACAGCAGTGTGTGAAGCCGATGGCCTCGGTCACCATGATGGCTGTGTCCAGCTGATCTTCCAGGAGGCAGTTCTTGGTGAAGGCTTCTAGCTTGGTAAGTGTGTTCAGGAAGATGACGATGTGGTAGGGGCTCCAGCAGAGCAGGAAGACGCCTGTGACCAGGATGGCCACGCGGACAGCCTTCTGCCTCTGCAGGCGCTGGGACTGACAGAGAGCCCGGACAATGGCCACGTAGCAGTAACACATTACCAGCAGGGGCAGAAAGAAGCCCACGGTGTGGTAGAGGAAGCGGGTAGCCAGCCAGGCGTTGTTGCCGTCAATCCCAACCTCTGGAAAATAGCAAATGCTGCGGTTGCTGTCGTCTGTCCAGACTTCCATGAAGATGAGGTCGGGTAAGGTCAGAAACAGCGAGCAGAGCCAGACGGCCATGCAGGTGAGGTGGATGGAGCGAGCTCTGCGTTTGCGGTAGGTGTGGATTGCGTAGACGATGGCCAGGTAGCGGTCCACCGCGATGCACCCCAGCAGCATGCTACTGCAGTAGAAGTTGATCTTGTGGACAGCGCTCAGGATCTTGCAGAGGAACTTCCCGAATACCCACCCAGCCAAGCTCTCCACCACGCTGAAAGGGAAGGTGAGCAGCAGTGCCAGGTTGGCCAGGGTGAGGTGGAAAAGGAAGTTTTCCGTGGTAGTGCGAGACCGCTTGAACCTCTCTAAAATGACCAGGACCAGGGCATTGCCCAGAGTCCCCAACACGAACATCAGCAGGTAGATGAGGGGCATGAAGACCTTTCTGAAGGGGTCTCTCTGGTCGCCAACCACAGAAGAGGCCGGGTTGAAGCAAAAGTAGCCCTCCAAAGAAGGAGTGGTGTTCTCAGCTTCATAGTAACCGCTCAGCTCCACCTGGCTCTGGGGAAGAGAGAGAGAGAGAGAGAGAGAGTCTGGTTACCCGAGGGGAGCTCCTGAGCGCGAGAACCCGGTCCCCCCCGCTGCACCTGGCAGACCTGGAGCGGAGCATCCCCACGTCCCGTAGCCTGCCTGCAGCGCGATGACCTGGCAGGCCGCTCTGGTGCCAGGAGGTGCTGCAGCCTGTGGAGAGGGTTGTCCCGATCTCCAATAGTGAGGACTGCTCAGTCTGTAATTTCTAGTTTATTTCAGGACGGTCTGGTGTCCAGACAGACGACCAGTTTCACCTTTTGGTCCCTGCTGAGTTACCTGCTGGTGGCTTTTGCTTTCTCACGTGGCACGGAACCCTGCTCTCCTGTTTTTTCCCATCCCTTTCCGACACCGACTGTTCCTGTCCTGCCCACCGTCTGCTGTCAGGTATGAGGGTGGTGGGATTCACCACACGGCACATCTGCACCTCAAGTTATGGGCACTGCTCCCGTTCCCTTCTGCCCCTCCTCCTTGGAGACCTTGGAGCTGCCTGGGGCAGAGCGAGGCAAGGTGGGGACAGCAGCAGCCGTGCTTGGGATGGCTTTCCACGTGCTGGGAGAAGGGTGTGGGGCGGGTGTTCGAACGCGACTGGAGGAATGCCTCTGAGGCATCATGGTGCCCTCGCTACAGGGATGGATGCTGGAGAGAGAAATCTGTTCGGTGGCTAAACCTTGCGGTTCTGAATGAGTTCAGTCAGAGCAGGAAAGGGAATCTGAAAACACCACTCGGACCTGGGGCTGGTGGTACCCGGTAAGGAAAGTGCGATAGAGCCGCTGCAGATGTGGTTCGTGCTTAGCCCGCTGTAGCTCCTTGCCAGCTGAGCAGCCCGTGCTTGGGCCGAGACCGCGGGCAACTCCTGAGCGCCGGGAAGCTGGAGTCGTGCTCAGGATGAGCCCCCCAGCCAGTGGGCACACGCTGGCTGGCCTCGGGCCCCTTGCGGAAGCCGGGTGTTCGCAAAAGCAAAGTGCTCAGATGCAGATGGGCACAAAAAGAGAGCGAGCGGCACAGGAGGCTTGCGGCAAGCTGAGAAATTAGTGACAACCGGGAAGAGCTCGGCAGCAGTTACCCTGAGCTCCCCCACCCACACCCTCTCTGGAGACCAGCGCTGAGGCCTCAGTGTCAACCACAGAGGAAGTCTCTGCTCGCTGCTTTCGTACCTTTCACTGCTAGCTGGAGCCGTTTGCACCTGCTGCTCCTTCCCTCCTAGCCAAAGTTCCCATCTAAAAATACTAGCCCTGCTTTAAACAGTTGTAGAGCTTATCTGGGGGAGGGTTTTGCTCCCCCCGCGTGCTGCTAAGCCAAACAACCGTGACCAGCCTCAAGTCCTGCGTCGTGCCTAGCTAGCGAAGGGTGAGGTACGTTTCTTCTCTCCCGGGCAGCCTTCTCCAGGTGACGTGCTGGGTGCCTCTGCACGCCACGGTCTGGGGTAGAGAGGTGACTCTGCAGCAGCCGCGCTCGTCTCGAACTGCTGTGCTGCTGAAACCAACTGCGTGGCTCCAAGGGGAGCCTGGGCGCGTTGGCGGGGAAGAAGTCTGCGGAGCCTTACCGAACGCGCAGAGCGGGCAGCTGCCTTAGGTGGTCCCCGAGCGGCGGATGGTAGGAGGGTGAACAAGCCCTTGGGGAAAGCGCAGAATAAGCTTGCCCAGCTCTCGCTCTCTTCCCCGGGCCTCTACCTTTGGCTGTGGCTGGAAAGAACGGGGAGCCAGACAGACTTTGGCCTGACTCAGGTTACTCTCGGTCTTGCCACGGTCCCATTCCCTACCGGCTCTGCACCCAGCGGTGCTACCGCTGTGCTGTGATGCCACCCACAGTGTTTCTTCCCGAACGGCCAGGGGCCGGGAGTCCTCCTCCCTGCCCAAAACCTCAAATGCGCACAACTCTCCTCCCCTAACGTAACGGTGGGGCCACAAGCCTTTGGTGGGAAGCATTCGTATGCCCAAAGAGCAATTATTTTTCTGCTTTAGGGCATGACTCTGGAGACTGGAGGTGGCCGCTAAAGACAAAAGCCTTAGGAAATCCCTCCCGGTTGTTTTTCTCCCTGGCTTGAAAATATTACCTGCCTAGTCCATACGCAGACCCTGCGTCGGGAGCTACTAAGACCCTCAGAAACCTGTGATGTGCTGTCTGGGGCCAGACCCTTGAATCTCCCTGAAAGAACCCCAAACCGAACACACTTGCTACTTGATACAGCGGCCCAAGCTGTACCAAGTTATACCGAGCCGCTATACCAAACTGGTCAGGATGCGCGCGTGACCATGCCGAAAACCCTGAGAAGAACACGAGCTGGCATGGGAAGCTTCACTGGGGAGAGGCTGGAGGGTTCCAGCTTTGGAGGGAAAAAGGAAACGATGGGAAATGATGGGAAAAGGCCAGGCTTGCCGGCAGCAGTGTTGAAGCGCAGCCTGGAGCCACGCCAGCACCATCGACGATGGCGGATGGGCGGCCTGCACGGTGTTCGATAGCTTTGGCGGCTGAGCGGTTTCCAGCATGGCCTTGCGTTCGGAGCCGGAGGTGCGGAGGCTGACTGCTGCTATCAGACACCATCTGATTGCTGATAAGATGGCAGGTAGGGCTCTTACTGGAAGCCACTCACCGCGGGCAGGGGAAGCGTGCGCTGCGCTGTGTCTGAGGCGTCCTCTCATGTGCATCTCCGAGTAGAGCAGCGAGTGTGGGTGGGAGCGGACAGAGATGAGTTGGAGACAAATAAAAGGGGTTGAAAATTCAGAGTCCGGGCTGGGACAGGAAGGGCAAGGACCAGAGCTGCAGGAGATGCACTGAACGTGACAAGCCGAGGCTTTTGGGGACGCTACTGCGATTCCCGTTCCTAGGACTGGAAGCGGGTGGCGGCCTGATCTGGGATGGGAGAAGTCAACGGCGTGCGTGCAGGGGGACCTTCGTACGGGTCTGCGGTGCGAGTGCAGCCAAGCTGTGGGGGTGGGCGAGAAAGTGGTGCCTTTCTCTGTAACCCAGCAGTTCGGTGCATGTCTGGGAAGCCCATTCCCGTGTGCTCTTTGTTCAGGGATCCCTTTTCCCCTCCAACCCACGTCTCAGAGCTATTCCGGTCTCTGCATGTCAGCTGCTTTTCTCAGTTCCCCACAACTGCCAGCGATCAAAACATTTGGCTGCAGAAGAGAAGCAGCTTGTACGCTATTAGGGATTTTCCACGTGAGTCATTCCCTTCTAGCTCGTGCCAGGGCTGGGAGACGCACGTTGCGTTCCCAAAGCAGTAAAACTGAAATTGCCCACATCGGCGCAAGTTACTGACAGAGCTTCTGCTCACCCCCTCTCCAGGCACCAAACTGGGAAAGGCACCTATAAGAGCAAAGCCCGCGAAAATGCCACGTTCCTGTAGCGCAAGTGTCTGGATGGCTCTCGAGTCATGTTGGTCTCCCAAGGGTGAAAACTGGCCTGCAGCACCTCAAGGGGACCCGCTGGAGATCTCGGTGGCCTTTCTGCAACTGTGTTTGTGTTTCTCTAGTCTGCAGCTGAGGAAGGTTAGGCTGGCAAAGCTTTCTTGCTAGGGAGCCAGGCATGTTACTTTTCCACAAGGTTACAGAGACGAGGGGTCCTGTACGGTAGCAAAGCTTAGGTGAGGCCCTCGCTGCGCTCCCTGGGTGATACAGAGAGAAATGGCCCTTTCCGTGCAAATGCTCTCCTCTGTTTTCCTTCCACGCTTGCTCCATCGCACAAGCGATTCTTTCTGGTGAGTGCACGGGGTAAGGTTTGTGTCCGGACACCGCCGAGGCCTTTTTTGCCAATCTCTGTGGGTAGGCTGCCGTTACAAGCGATGAGCGTAACTAAAACAACATACAGCACCACCAAAGCGAAGGCGGTATTGCTCGTGCGAGACCTGTTGCGGGGAGGGAGCTAAACTTGGGAAGCTCCCGGGAGAACAGAGGTGGGAAGCGCACGTCACAAACTCCAAACGGCGTGGAGTCTGAGAAAAGGTATAAAACTGTTCTTGCTGTGGCACCTAACTCTCCGCCCTCCATCCCAAAGCCAGGTTTCCCCCCTCACGTGGGGTCTCCCCTGTAACTTAAAATAACGCATGGCAGAGGTAAAATCACTAAGCGAAGGCTCTGGAAAATACCGTATGCCAAGAACAAATCCCAGTGCTGCTTAAGCCCTCTGCGTTAAAAACCGCAGTTTTGCCACAAGCGGCCGCTCACTTACAGCGCGTGACACGCCGCAGGCGGGCGGGTGGCACGCTTCAACTCCGCTGGTTTTCTGGTGGTGGGACAGATTTCCAACAGAGAGCTCAGCCGGAGGAGCGAGTCGGTGGGGAGATGAAAAAGGCGTGACTCTGGTTTTCACCTTTCAGCAAGAGTTAGCGCTGCCACTGAACTTCAGCAGAGGTCAGGGAGAGACACGTCCTCTGCAAAAACCTTCTAAAGGAATGACTACCGCTCACAAAGGGGTTTTAGACTGGATGAATCAGAAAAAATAAGGAGGGTCGTGCTTGCCCGGCCATCTCCTCTCTCTTTCCTGGTGTACAGGACAAAGGAGGGACAGAAAAATTTTTAGAAATTAAGTCCAGCATTTCTCTCTCTACAGAAACTAAACAAGCACTGAGGTCTGCTTCAGAGAGCCGCTGTATTAAAAAAAAAAAATTCTGAGGTTCAACATTTGAAAACCAGGCTAATGATAGCGCTGCTGTGGACTTCCCCTTGGATGGCACAATATACTCTACAAGGTGCAGCTGCTGTCTTTCACTTGCAAACGCAGGGGACAGAACTATGGGGTAGAATACACGGTGCCATCGGTCCCCATTAGAAGAAGTACTTGCAAGTTATCTTCCCCTCTTTAAAATTCCCCTCTTGTACATATGCTGCGTATTCCCCTTTCAGCAGAGTCTTCGGCAGCCTGCTCGTGGAGAGGGCGAGCAGGGGTGGGCGCGTGTGTGGTCTGTACCAAGGGTTTTCACACACGGAGAGAGCGTTGGGTTTGCTTGGGTACTCCTGTTATGCAAAGATACTAGATGAGATTTCCAGGGCTTTGCAGGCCGGGTGCACAGTCATTTGTACCACCGAAGGCTGGAGCAAAAGGCGTCCGACACAGAATGAGTGTTTTACGCCCACATCGTGTCAATGGCTGCGCAGAGAGCAGGGCAGCGGGGAGACGGAGGCTCGGACAGGCTGGCAGCGCGGGGTGGGGCCGCAGCAGCCCGGCTGTCCCCGCGAGCCGCCCGGCCCTTGGGCAGCACCGGCGGTCTCGGTCCCTGCGCAAGAGCGGTGCTCGCTAGAACGTCTCTGCACGAGGTGCTGGTGGCTCGGCAGCTGTCCCCGAGGGAATACCTGCCGCCCTTGGATCAGAGCAGCCGTGGCCACGTTACGCCGGCTCTCCGCGAGCGCAGCGCTGCCACTCGCAACCCCCTCATCGATCAGGTCTGGACTTAAGGGACGCGAGGGCTGATTGCACTGGCGTAAGGAATCGCTCGAGCTCTCCCTCTGCCAACAGGAGTGTGAGAAGAGGGACAGACAGAAACCGGGTCTTGCAGCCCACCCCAGCTCTACGTGCTCTCCCCATTATCAAGCAAAGCCAGGCCCGACTCACCAAGTCGTAGGTCTCTGACGAGTAGCTGACAGGCCCCATGGTTTCAGGGGCAGGATCTGTCTCTCCTCCAGCAGTTTCAGCAAAAGTTCTTCTCTTTCGGGGTGGAGTTAATCATTTAAGTGAGTAGGGAGGGACCCAGCATGTAACAATAGAGTATTTGCAAGGCAAATGAGCTCTAGGCTTAGAGTGACCTAACTGATGTAAAGATTAGCATCTAGCTTTATCATCTCTCTGTTTAGTGCCATATGTTGATTTTGTTTAAAGTACAGCTTGAAGAATCCGTGTTCCGTTGGTCTGTACCAGAGAAGATCCGGAACGTCTGTAGGTCTTCCCTGGAAACCTCCAGGGCCCTTGCCCCCGGCTGCCCTCGTCCCAGGTGCTCCGAGAAGCTTTGGCAAGCTCTGTGCCAAGGGACACCCTTGCCAGAAATCTCCCTGGATCCGGGCACCTCTCTGGAGCTGTGCAAGACTTAGAAGACACCCGAGATGAAACGCACGGGTCTGGTCTGTATGACCGTCGCCCTCTGCCTCGGGGTCCTCCTGGCCGCTCTGGCCCCCGTGAGCTGCGGACAGCTTCTGCTCCATCTCCCGCTGCCTCGCCCTTCGCCTCGGCTCAGGGAGACGTGCGGCGGCTCGGACGGGAAAGCTGGGCCTCGGCGGCCGCTCTGCGAGTCTAGGGCAGGGTGCTAGCTAGCGCAGACCGGCCTGCTGTATGACACGCAGCGAAGCCCCTTGATTGGAGGCGTCCCTGCAGCGTTTGTCTCGCCCATAACGAAGACAGGAAATCAGGACTGTCTCTGCTCAGGGAGAACGGGCATTTTGTCCGGTAATGTTGCAGCAGCAGATTCACGGTGTGAAACCCCCAGTCTGGGTCAGCAGGACGGGATGGCAGCGCGGGTGGCATTCTGGCAGGAAGCCTTTCCTCTGTGAGGAGCCGAGGTGGTTCAGCAAGCGTGGCGTCTGTCCTCCCCTTGTCTGGGCACAGCCGCACCGAAGCCTCCGTGCCAGCCAGGAGTCTGGTGGGGCTTGGACTGGTGAAGGAGGAGGTGGTGTTATTCCAGCGAGCACTGCTTGACATGCTCTCCTCCTTATGCTTCTTAGCAGGCGCTTGGTGGTCCTGGCTCGATGGGGATCTGCTGTCCCGAGGATGTCGCTGTCCTCCCCTGCCCTGAGGACCTACCTATATGTGTGCACCTGCACGTGCCCACCCAACACACCAGCCTCTGGGCAGCCCTTCTCCCAAAAAGGGAGAGGATGGAGAGCTGTGAAGCCGGAGGGAGGGCAGAAGGAGATCGCGCTGTGCCTCCAGTCCCCTGTCTTGCAGGGGCAGTTCAGGCTGAGCGAGCCCTGTCCCGCACAGCTTGGCTGTCCTGAGGCCCTCCGCTGCCGGGGCCGTGGGGTGAGGTGAGAGGTGGGGTACCGCTGCGCCTGGGGGGACAGAGGAGTTAGGGAGGATGTTTTCACTCGGCTAGAACTGGAGGGTGGAGCACCCAGCAGCAGGGACTTCCTCTAAGGGCTACCGACGAGGGTGCTGCTCCCCATGGCAGGGCACATTTGGGATCGGCTCTGTCGGTGCGACAGCTTTTGACCTTCAGCAAACGCTGCCCTGCCCCCAGCCCCAGCTACTCTGTGAGCACAGCAGAGGTGGCGTGGGAAGTAAGGTACTGCAGGTTGGTAGGTTACGGTGATGGTGCAGAACCTCTCGGGTCCGAGGGACAGTCTGCAGGATGCGGCTACAGGGAACGGTAAGCTGAAAACACCTCCCAGGCCCTCGGACGTGGCACGAGAATGACAGGGGTTCAGGGAGCCCGCTCCCAAGCAATAAACACAAATGATTTCACTTGCAAAAACATACTACGCCAAGGAAATGGCTGCTACCATGCAGACGTGATCTACAGGATCCATATGTCGCTGTAACGTGAAATGTGAGGAAGATGGTAATGCGAGGGAAGAGCATGGGAGAACAATAAATGGGGAGAGAAGAAATTTAAATGAGAAATCACGTCACTTCACAGACAGGTAAGGAACTGACTGTGGAAGAAGATTGTCGCAAAAAGCAACCATAAATATTTGGGGATTGTTTTGGTGTCCGTACATGGGAGTTCCCGGCTGAACTCTGGTTTTCTGTCACGGGCACACATTCTCACCAGAGAATCGTTCACGCTTTCTCAGGAACATAAAATTCTGTTAACTTGAACAAGGTATTCTGATAATAGGAAGCTCTTCAGCTTTACCCGAGGATAATAAAACGCACTACTTGTGAATGAGGTTGCTCTGTTCTGTGCAACTATGTGACGAATAAGCACATTTACTGACCAGTTTGACGCTACACTGACTTTCTGAGCTCTGCCTGAGAAAAGCCAGATCGCTTCTGGCTCCTGAGTCTTCTCGCCTCTAATGTTTTCTGTTTGCCTTATTTGCTGTTACCATAACTAAACCTTTGTGAAGCGTGTGCTGCCTACAAATGTTAGTCATATTTACTAATCTGTTATTTTCTGTTGTCATTTGTTCTTTTAAGGGTAGAGCATGCTGTTTCCTGTACGTCTCGTTGTGAAGTGCGACGCTTAGCCCTGCAAAGAGTTGAGATGAAACGCCAGTCCCCGCACAGCAAGGCCAGAGCAGCGGCAGGAGCAGGCACCAGAGAAGGGAAGGTCCTGCCCAGTGCGCGTCTCTGACTCTGGGAACGGGGGAGTCGAGGCTTCTGTGTCCGTAACGGCTGCACCCTTCGGCCAACAAGGGGCACGATGAGCTGGCATGGCCAGAAACAGGTGAGATGCGTCTTTTCTGCTCCCCTGTCTTTTCAGGTTCTTTCTTCTCTGGCCATGCTTGGAACAGAAACTTGGAAAACAGAAGGACGCATCGGGTAGGAAAGAAGCTGACAAAGGAGCTCTGTGCCAGGGACGACGTCTCTTCCCCGGCAGTTCAGGACGTGGCAGCAGCCCCCTAGGAGAGCAGCAGGTAGTCTGGGAGTGAACAAAAGAAAGAAATGAAGGCCAAGGCTGTGCTGGTCTTATTTCCCATGATAATCGGGCCAGAACGTGTGACGTGATCACACTGGAAGGGTTGCCAGGCCTGCTGGAGATGACTGTGCTGTGGCGGGAACCGCACGGCATCTTCATCCCGCTGTGCCCCGCAGCCCTCTCGTGGCACCAAGCGTGGGCACCCGCACCTCGTGCGCTGCAGCGCTGGCCCCTGCTGTGCGCTGTGCTGTCGAGGGTAGGGACAAACAGCAATCTAAAGGCGGCTGTAGATGTGAGGCACTCGGGAGAAACGGCAACGTGAGGGGAAACAAATCGGTTTCCCCTGTCTTTTTGTGCCTGTTTCTGAAAGACATTGGAACACAAATTTGTCGGCAACAATTTCGGAATCACCCTTATTTTTCGGCTGTTTGACATGTGTTCCCGTTGTGCCCCACTTTGTCAAAAGCCTTGTCTACGTAATGGCTATCTAAACAACCTTCCTGCTGCGGATCAGTCTTTTCTTCTTCCGTTTGTGCTGGCTGTGTTGTAATGACTACGTAGAAGACACATTAACTTTCCAGGCTTTTTCCTCAGGAAAGAGATGCTTCCAGTACCTCCGTTACGAGGCCTAAAACGGGTGCTGCTTGCCAACGGGAGAAGTCATGGGTGCTGGCGGTTTCCACCCCTGTCACTACGCGTCCCCCTCTATCTCGAGAGGTACGGAACTACGCAAAATCGCTTCCGTGGCTGCAGCAGCAGCGCCGCCCCGGTGCTAACAGAGGGTGCGGCCGCCTCCGCTCACACCGGTTTATTCCCTCTGCGCCGGCCGGCACGGCCATGTCTCCCCGCCCGCCCGCCCTGGGCCGGGGCCGGGGCCGGGGGTTTTCCGCCTGCCGCCCCGCGCCCGCTCTCTGCGCGGCGAGGGCGGGGCGAGCTTCTCCCCGCTGCGCCCCGCGCTGCCGCCAGCCCTTCCGGCTCCGGCGCCGCGGGGTGACGGGCCCGGGGTGCTCGAGCCCGGGCGGCGCGGCCCCCGCCCGGGAGGCGGAGCCGATCACGTGGCCGAGGGAGCGCGGGGCCGGGCGCGTCGGGCGTGCGTGCGTGCGTGCGTGCGTGCGTGAGGGGCGGGGCCGGCCTGCCCTGCCGGGAGGGGGAGGGCGCACGGGAGGAAGGAGGAAGCCGCCATCTTGGAGCGTCGAGTCGCCATAACAAGGCACCAAGGGGGAGCGAGAGGATTTTATACCGGGGCGAGGGGGGAGCGCGGCTGGTGGCGGTGAGGACGGGCTAGGGCGCCGGGGCGGGCGCGGGTCCGCGGGCGCGGGTCCGGCGGGGGTAGGGGGGCCGCCGCCGCCGCCCGGCCGAGCCTCGCGGCCTGCGGCACCGCGGGAGCGCCGGGGCCTGGCGGGGCCGAGGGGCCGCGAGCGGGGCGGGGGCGGCGGGCCGGGCCGGGCCGCGCCGCGCCGGGAGCGGTGGGGCCGCGGGGCGGAGCTGCGCCGCGGCGGCGCCCGCTGCTGGGCCGAGCGGAGGGGCGGCGGGCGGGGGCCGCTCCATTGTTCGCGGGCGGGAGGTGCCGGTGTGGCGCAGCTGCGTTTCGCGGGCGGTGCCGGCCCCGCCGCAGGGCCCGGCGGCCCCGCCGCTCTTCGCCGCGGCGGGGGCGACGCCGCAGTGCGGCCCGGGCTCGCCGGGAACAATGGGCGCCGCGGGGGCTCCCGCGGCCGGCCGAGCTGCGCGGCCGCTTTGTGCCGGGGCCGGCCCGGCCCTGCCCCGGCTCTGCTGGGGTGCCGAGGGTCCGCTGCCGGCGTGGGAGGGAGAAGGTCTGGGGGCGGCTGTCCGGCCCGCCTGGCTCCGTGGTCTGCGCCCGGAGCGGAGAGTCGTGGGGCGGGGGGACCTTTTTACCGTCGGACCGCCGGTTTGCGAAATGGTGGCGCCTCTCGGTTCGGAACGGGGAGAGCTGCTCGCTTCCATGAGGCTGTGCCGCCTTCTTTATTCTGGGGCCTTTTGAAAGGTAGTTAGGGGTGAGAGAGTTTCAGGGCCCGAGGTGTTCCCTCTCCTGCCATATGGGACAACTCCTCGGTGTCGGTATCCGCGTCGTTTAGGCGGCGCTGGTTACTTTTGTGGCTCGTCCGGTTTTTACAAAGTTAATGGGCAGGAGAAGTCGCTCTTCAAAGATGCCTTGAAACGGTGCTTCCAGCCGGAAGTTAACTAGCAGAAAAATTCTGGCTCTGGGAACGGTAAAGTTTTGCTGTGCGGCTAGCATTTGCGCGCTTGGAAGTGGCTGGGAAGAGTCTGAATTTCTCTTCCATCCTCCTGAGATGCGCTTGAATATGACTTCTGTTCACTGGTGAAACGCGCAGGGTTGTTTTTTTTTTTTTTTTTTGGTGACGCTGAAGTCAGGAAGCAGTACTCTGCTGTTTTTTCCCTTTGTGTTTCCCAAGATACAGACACGTTGGGATGAGAAGTTGTGCAGGCAAGCCCACTTTCTGTTCCTTCCGAAAGGTTTCAGACTGGGAGTGTCTTGGCTCCCTGATGTCATCGTAAGGAGTTTTTCAGCTCTGGTCCGTGCTTTCTTTATGTAAGGTGAAAGCTGTGTGTTCTCTCCTTATGGTTTTGTCAGCCTTTCCGCTAAATACGGCATCAATATTAGGTCATGTGTACCTGACGTTCTCTTGAGCGCAACATGGGTTGTTACTGACAGCTGGAAGGTAACGTCATGTGGAACACGTAAGCAGGAAGCTAGAGATCTAGTGTAAGTGTATATTATTCACTTCTTCGGTTTAGGCTCAGTCACTTAGAGTTAACAAAACAGGAAGCTACTGTCAGTTCAGCTTGATGATATTGTTAGTTTTGTTATGGCAAGTGGTGCTAAATCAGTACCCGATTTAAAAGTTTGAGGAAGCTGGTTGAACTGACTTTTTGTATTGGAGGAGGATAAGCTGTTTTTTGAGGTTTTTTGGTTTTGTGTTTTTTTTTCCTCGTTTTTAATAAAAACGGTGACATAATTTCTACTTCTACTTTGAGGTGAAAAGAGCAATCAGAGTAACTTCTGGGTTTTGTCAGTTCTAACTGGAATGTCCACTTGATATTGTGACCTTGCCTCCCGTCACCGACTTGTGCATAACTTTATTGCTTAGCATTTCAGGGCTGCTTTGCTGGGTCCCGGAAGCGGGAGAAATTCAGTTATGTCAAGCAATTGGTATAACTCATGCTTGCTTTACAAGGTGGGGCAGGTAACGTTTTTCAGGCGGTTACTCACTAGAAGGCTGCTGAAAGTACAGCCGTTCAGAAAAGTATCTTTGGTGACTGAAGGCGATGGGCGCAACATTATAGAAAGGGGAAGAAAGTTTGATCCGTGTCGTGATAATTACCACCGAGAAAATGGAAAAGCGAGTGCTGTTGTTGCATGCTGTCTGGGAAGAAGTGATTCTTAAAATACGAAAGTCAACTGATGTGATTTATGTCGGTGAAAGTCCACATACTAACGGTATTGTCTGCCTCTCTTTCAGATTGAAGCGAGTGAATTCTGATATAACTCAACTTTGTTAGAGGGCTTTTTTTAAAAAAAAGTTGATCCACAGTGCATCAGAGCAAGTTACTACTTTACTTTTGAGTGACTTACAGGTGCTTGCCTGCATTGCAATAAAGGACTCATATATTGAGCAAGACTTATTTATCTCTTCGTTTTGGAGAGTCTAATAAACTGTTATTACAGTTTCTGTACTGACTTTCAAAGTTTTGAAGTCTAAAAAGACATCTTTAAAAATAAAAACATGAGCACGGCCAGAACAGAGAACCCTGTTATAATGGGTCTATCCAGTCAGAATGGGCAGTTGAGAGGCCCTGTAAAACCCAGTGGGGGCCCAGGAGGTGGAGGCACACAAACTCAGCAACAGATGAACCAGCTGAAAAATGCCAACACAATCAATAACGGCACTCAACAGCAAGCACAGAGCATGACCACCGCTATTAAGTAAGTGTTTCTACCGGCTGCCGCAAAAGTAACGTTTAAGAGTCACGTGTGGGAAGGTGTTCTTGGGCTCCCACTTTAAAAAGTTTTCTTCTGTTGTTTTGGGGTACTGGCTGTTTAGAAGTGTTTTGTGATGTGCATTAGGAAAAGAAAGCTGTATTTCTGTGTGCGAGCTTCTTTTGGACGGTGAACTTTGCAGTGTGTTTGTTGTGAAAATCGAATTTGACGCTTTGCTTTTCAGGACGTGTAGCTGCTTGTCAGAGGTAGCCCGCTGAGCAGCAGCAGCAGCATCCTGTTTTCGATGCTCATTGCGAGTGGTATGAGAGGGAAGTTGGGGAGTGGGAAGGAACTGAACTGAAATTTAAGGCAGAGGAGGAAAGGCCACCTAGTCTCAGTCCAATTGTATCTGCTTTTCAGTTGTTTGTTGCCGTTCTTTCTCATGGTGAGAAATTCCTTAAAGTCGTTTATCTTTTGTCACCGATCTTAAATAGCAGTGCTTGCTCTCCTCGGTATAATGCTCCGGCTTTAAGCCATCGAAGCCTGAGCTGAGATAATACGGTACCACTGTGCTACCTTCCTACCATCACACTGGTTTTGGAAGCATGCTAATAAAATGTGAGCGTGATGGTTGGAGATTCTGAAAGACGTAAAAAACTTAGATGGCGTGGTAATGTGTTCCTTTTTTTTCCCTGGGGTGCCTCGTCTCCCTGAACGACATTTGCTTTTATCTTGTTACTCGATTATTTCCAAAGGAAATGCCAGCTGTCATCAGAGAGTGCATAATAGAATACTCGGGTTCTTAAAGTTTGCCTAGCTTGTCTGTGTTTCCCCTCCCCCCCCCCCCCCTTTTTTTTTTTTTTTTTTTTTGTTTAATGGGTTACTCTAAGGAAACCGATGAGTTAAACCCATCTGCATTCACTCATGACTGCCTGGGATTGGGAAAGAGAAGGACTTATGCTCCTCTATCTAGTGGCTTTCAAGAGAGGGTGGGTGTCTAACTCTCATTGAGAGCAAAAGATGATATTTGATCAACAAGTGGAGTGTGCGCTTCCTTAACTTCCTCCCCAGAAGTGTGGTTTATCTTCTTGCATTACTCATGGATTAAGAATGGATTTCCCCTGGGCAGGAGAATTTTTTTTTTTTTTTTTTTTTTCAAGTGATGAAATATTCTCGTGTGGATTTATTATAGCCAGTTTCTGTCATATGACTAAGTCAGTGCTCAGTTTTAAATCCGTGTTCTACTGGATTGATTTGGTGCCCTAAAAATGGGACTTGAATCATGAGTGGATCAAGATTTCACAAATTCTCTGTGTGCTTGGCAGACTGCTGATTTTCTGTTTACAGTTTCCTGCCTGTTGCATCCTGCTTAGCTCAGAGAAGACTTGAGCTCGTGTGTGTAGGCGCTGTTAGCTTCCAGGAGGTGAAAATATTACATGTTCGTCACAGTATCTAGGAAAATAAAAATGCAAAATAAAATTGTTAAACCAGATATTTTTTAGATTGACTTGTACTTTATTTTTGCTATAGACCTGGTGATGACTGGAAGAAGACTTTAAAACTCCCTCCAAAGGATTTGAGAATCAAAACTTCGGTAAGGATGGCTGAATTGTAGGAATATGTATCACATAAAAAGATGGGGGAGAAGCTGCAGTGGGAAAATACTGGTCCTAAGCAAAGATTCCAAAGCAGTTCAGCTCCTGCTGTTTTAAATGAAGAATTAATGTGTTCTACAGCTGCTTGGGAGAGGTGCTTTTCCTGGGAAGCTCTAAACCGGAGTTCCCTGTGGATTCCTTACTTTATTAGTGTTACAGCATAGGACCGATTGTCAGTGTCTCTTGCGAGGCAGATCAGAAGATGTTCATGCATGTTCATGATACTCTTCTTGGTCACGAGAAAGCTAATGTTCCCTTCTCCGCTGTACGGTGTTGCACAGATGAGTGGGAACTTCTGTAGTAATGGAATGCACTTTTGTGGTCTTCCTGCGTAGGCAGTCTCTCATTGAGTCAGACCGATCTACAGCTGTGGCTTGCATGACCTGATCTGATGGATGTGCTTTTTTTTTTGATTATTCAGGATGTGACCTCCACAAAAGGAAACGAGTTTGAAGATTACTGTTTGAAACGGGAGTTGCTGATGGGAATTTTTGAAATGGGCTGGGAAAAACCATCTCCTATTCAGGTTGTTTACAGACAGACTACTTACAAGAAGCGTTACGTTTTTATAAATTTGCTGCAATTCTTATTTATGCTTGAATGTCGGATACTCCTGACTTGATGTGGGAAAATGGGGTTGCGAACGGTAGAGCTTGCTGGTGGCCTTTTGGGAAAGGTGAGAATTTATAACGCCCGACTAAATCATGCAGCGGGTGACTTAGAGGTGGGACCGACTTACACGCTAGAGGAGTTAACTTGGATTTTCCTTTTCTCTCTGGAGGCATTAGCGTTTGAATCTTGGGTTCGGTAACACCCTTCACATAAGTAGTCCCAGCGGGAACAGGGCTGCTCTATACATTTTCTGGAAAACAAAGAGAACTACGGCTTTATCGCACGGTCTCAGCTTTTTTATTGCAAGCATCTGGAAGGAGCGTAATGGAGATGATGGGGGAGAGATCAGTGTTAGCAAGTTTACTTTTTTTTGTCCCTCCATCTTGCTTTTACTTTCGAGGCTTGTTCTATTAAGAGCTGTTGATGTGAAAACCTCAGGGAGGGCAGGGAGGTTGATCTCTCCTTCGGTTGCACCTTGGAGGACTGTCCCTGACACAGCTCTGCCGCTTCTTCTCCTTAAGGTGTGAGAAAAATACGGCTTTTAGGTAATTTGTCTGCTTGCAAACAGATTCGAACTGTGTCACCTTTACAAAAGGCTGAGGGTTCTTTAGATGCCGATGTAAAAGACGATAAATTGAAAAATATTTGGGGCCTGTGTTTGAATGGCTGGAGTTTGGAAAGGAAAGCCTGCTGGTTTTAGGAGAGGTAGATCACAGGAGCGTGCAGGTTTGAATTAGACTGGCTGAGGTTGTTCTGATGTTAAGGTATAGGTGGGTATCTTTTTCCGTAGGAGTTTGATAGCGACTGTCGCTGTCTCTTCACTTTTTTCCCTAATTTTTTGCTTTTTTCCTAATGTGTAAGTATGGGTTTACCGTTCCTGTGGTACCTGATCCCTGATTCTCTTACGACTGGGCAAGACGAGGGGTTCTTACGTGGGCTGTGGGGAGTGGAGCTATTGCTTCGTTAGGGAACTCTTTACCGATAGGAGGTAGCGGGAGTCGTTCCTGTTGTGAGTCCCCGATGCTTGCGGTTGCGGGATACTCTGTTCGTGAAACAATTGGATTTCACGTGATGCTGTTAGCGAGGAGAGCTAACTTTGGCCACCCTCTTTAGCAAGCGGGGCTTACGATTGCTCATGTGCCGTCTGTTCTTGTGTTTCAGGAGGAGAGCATCCCCATTGCTTTATCTGGTAGGGATATCTTGGCTAGAGCGAAAAATGGAACAGGCAAGAGTGGAGCCTACCTCATTCCTTTACTTGAACGGCTAGACCTAAAGAAGGACAATATACAAGGTCAGTTGAGATGGATCTCGCTTAGCTGCAGCCGGGTAGTGGTGTCGGTCGCTACATAGCAGGCTTGAATCTAAAACTGGGCGATGAAATTGAGCAGCGAAGGTTATCTGCTTTTACTTTCCAAGGCAGTTAATGGCGAGTGGTGGAGGGGAGGTGGGATTTTAAAAGTCCCGTAGTTGCTTTCAAAAGCTTGATATGGAAGACATCTTCTGGACTTTACTGTCTTGCCCTGGAAGCGCTATTTGGAGCGATAAGCAAGCGTGCTGGCTGGGAGACTTGTGCAGAGGGAGTATCGAGGGATGGAGAACTTGAAGAGGGAAGACGAACCTTCAGACCCTTGCTCAGAATTGGCCTTGTCGTAAGCGCTTCCGAGGTCTCCTTCAGGATATTCAGAGTGGAGCTCCCAAAGCATAGAAGTATAGCTTTAAAAAGTCTCTGTCTCCTCTAAGGATTAGCATTGAAGATAGAGTGTGTTATCAGTAACTCACAATGACGCTTTTAACTTTCAGCAATGGTGATCGTTCCCACCCGTGAACTAGCCCTGCAGGTCAGTCAAATCTGTATCCAAGTCAGCAAACACATGGGAGGTGCCAAAGTGATGGCAACAACAGGAGGAACCAATTTGCGAGATGACATAATGAGGCTTGATGATACAGGTTGGAGCGCTTTTGCTACACTACGGTTGCTGTTCGCTCGTGGCTTTTACAGTGTGGCAGTGGAGTTTCTGCTTGTTGTTGCTGTTTGCCTGTTACAGAACGGACTACGATGTGTCTCGTTCGCTGTCAGTATGCTATCGTTATTTCCTCAGGCTGTGTGAAACGTGGGCACGAATGCTGGAAACTTTGTTTTATGCTTTAGTTGCCTTAACGTTTGTGTTTTTGTTTTTTCTTTTTTTTTTTTTTCCTTTTTTTTTTTTTCTTTTTTTTTCTTCTAACCTTACAGTGCATGTGGTGATAGCTACCCCTGGGAGAATTCTCGATCTCATCAAGAAAGGAGTAGCAAAAGTCGAGCATGTCCAGATGATAGTATTGGATGAGGCAAGTTGCTCATGTTAAACGTTTTGGGATGTTAACACCAAGTTAAAGCTAGCGTGCTCCTCTGTGAGTCTCCTCGTTACGCACAGCAGCAAATCAAGCTCTGCTTAGAGACGCTATAAGGTTATAGCTCATCCGTTTCCCGGTATTATTGAGAAGGTATTTTGCCGGCAGAATTTTTCTGCACGTCAATCTTTTGAGAACTTTCCTGTTGTCTTTGCTGTTCCTGAATGATAGATTAACAGTGTGTTCCGAAAGGAAGAGTGCATTTCCTTTGGTTTCGGTTTATAACGAGCAAGCTGTGCTTACCATGTAATTGTGTATAAAAGTCGTTTATGAACATCCAGTGGAGTACAGGCTTCTGAGTGAGAGGCTGAGAAAATAGTTGCGGGAAAGCTCTTGGATAAGACTGATCAGAACCCTGATAACTAGCTGTTTTCAGTTTAGATGCCATTTATTTTCCCGGAAATCGATTTTGGTTTTGTATCAAAGCGCTGAACACCGGGAGAGGGTAGACTTTTACCGATGAATCCTGTCTCCAGCAGCTAAATCGCACATCTTTTGGAGCGTGGTGCGTGCTCCGGAGGGAACGGTCCCATCAGAAGGGTGGGGAGAATGCTCCTGGTCTTTTGTTTGGGGTGGTTTGTTTCCCCCCCCCCCCCCCCCCCCAAAGTGGTACTACCAGAAGAATTTTGCCCCGTTATTTTAACTTACTCTTGATTACCTCTATTGTTACAGGCAGATAAGTTGCTGTCTCAAGATTTTGTTCAAATAATGGAAGACATTATTCTCACGCTACCTAAAAACAGACAGATTTTGCTCTACTCCGCCACTTTCCCTTTGAGTGTACAGAAGTTCATGGTGAGTGCAGGTGCATTCATACACGTCTGTCGGTGGTGATGTTGCACGTGAAGTGTGTGAATGGGTGGTGCGTAGCTGTTAGCGCTCGTTTGGTTTTTTTTGTTTAATGCGTCCGGACTTTACCGGTTTAGTCTAAATCAGCCTAAACCTAGGCTGGAAGGTTGAGAATAATCTTTGACCCGCGGTAGCGTTAATGGGAAAGCTAGGTACGCGTGGTTCTTGCCTAGAAGGTACTGTTTCCGGCTTTGTGCGTTGGTTACGTGCCATCTGCACCGATCTGTTTCTGAGGGTGCTCCTGTTTGGCCTGCTTGATCGCCTTGGTTTTATAAGTCATCTTTTTTGGAATTTTACCCACCCTGTCTGTTTTGTGTGTGGCATGAAGAGTGAGTGGCTAGGCGGCACGTCCTTGCAGTGGAGGAAGTTAAATGTGCTGGAGGGTGGGAAGAACTTACGTTGTTTTGCATGTAGATACGCCCGCTTCATCCTTATCTTTCTTTTTCAGAATTCCCACTTGCAGAAACCCTACGAGATTAATCTGATGGAGGAGCTGACCTTGAAGGGAGTTACCCAGTACTACGCCTATGTAACCGAGCGTCAGAAAGTACACTGCCTCAATACGCTGTTCTCCAGGGTAAGCCGTAGGGCTGGGTCTGGAGCATACAGGTGCTTTTTTCCTTTCGGACCCAAGAATAAGACGGAGGGCAGCCGAGACGGCTTAACGACGCTTTCCCCTGGTCAAAATGTGCTACTTAGCTGAGCCTGAAAACACGTGCTTGTCCTGCGCCTTTGCGTTAGGGAACTTCGTTAATTTTTTCCCCTCTTGTACAAAAGTACGGACCGTGTAAATTACCAGCGGCATACCTGTTTTGCTTGCTTTCTGGAGGGGATTTAGACTTACGTCTTGCATCATTTGTTAGTAAAATGCTGCGTTTACTGAGCACGCTACTTATCTGTTCAGCTCCAGATTAACCAGTCGATCATTTTCTGCAACTCCTCTCAACGGGTTGAATTGCTAGCCAAAAAGATCTCCCAGCTGGGCTATTCCTGCTTCTATATCCATGCTAAAATGAGGCAGGTGAGTATGAAGTCTGCCGCGGTTTATTCCACGTCACCCCAGGCTTTAGCGTGTAGCTGAAATAAGTCTAGTGCTTGCTTTAAGTTAGCATGTTCTGGGAAAACAAAAAGGTGCAGCCTTGCTGTCGAGTTTGGTTTTAGGTCTGTCTCTCTTCCTGTCCTTCCCCCTCGCCCCCAAATGGCTTTCCAGAGTTTCCAGCGTAGCCGGTCAGTTGGTGTTTGAGATTACTTGAGGTCAAGTTAATTAGTCCAGAGTAAGCACGGACCGCAGCCAGAAGGCACAGTTCTTACTGCTGCTGCCTTGCTTTTGCCAGCGTGGGGAGCCGTGGGAGGCCACGCAGTGTAACCGACGCAGGTGAAAACGAGGCCGTTTGAAAACAAACGGCAGAAAACCCAGTACGTGGCCGCCTGAGTGTCCTGCGTGGCTTGGCAAGCAGTAAATCTGGCAGCGTGACTGCAGGGGGATCTGAGAAGTCCGGGAGGTGGCTTCGATCACGCCCTCTTGGCGAATGCTGTGGCGGGAGTATGGCGACTGAGCACCCGTGGCCTTGGTGTAGATGATGAAAAATGCCAGTGCAGCTTCGCTGGTGTGGAGGTTTCTGTTGATTGTACGTCGGCCCACGCGTCCTTGAGCTTCATACTCACGACTTCCTTGTTTTCAGCAGGTGTACTGAAAGAAGTCGGAAGGTTCAAGTGACGGGTGTGAAACAGTAGTACTGTGAAATACTACTTTCATTTTATATGTAAGCTAGAGTAAATTCAGATTAACATTTTAGCGGAAACCTAGCTTGCCATTCACGGAACAGACAGATCATGCCAAGGTTTGCTGGGCTGTGTGCAGACCGGTAATCAGTTAAGCAGACGTAGAAGCGCTGTAGGTATTGAGAACGGAGAGATACGCAAATGGATTCCATGGGGTCTGACGTTTCCGTCCTTTTGATCGGTCACTAGATGATCTTTGTGGCAAAATGCAGGTCCGTTTGTGTGGAAACCTTAGATTTGTTCGTTCTTGCTGTTACTGTCGCCCCTTAACGTTGATAGTACTTAATCTTTGTGTGGCCCAAGGCGACTTGTTTGTGAGAGGGGAGTCTTCGCAGACAGTTGACTCGGCCCACGCCTAATTCTGAGTCGGTAGTGAAAAATACTCCTTATTGGAAAATGAAGTTACTGCCGAGTTCGGTTTTTAAAGGAATGAATAAAACACGCATTGAATTTGGCAGGGGGCTGGGGGAAGATGATAGTCAAAATAGCAGTTTAACTTCCTTGAGGCGTGTTTCGTATAATGGTAACTGAAGCTGTTCCTGATCTGAGACGCTTTGATGCAACTGGAGGCGGCTTTAAAACACAGTGGGTTAAGGGTCTTTGTCTAAAAGCAGTACAGAGGGCCCCTCCGTTGACTTCTTTAGAATACGTGGGGAAGAAGGGCTAAAAAATACATGCCGCTGGCTTGGTTGGACTCAGTTCCTCTCCAGTGACGAGGGGGAGGAATTCATCTGATGGAAGTTCCGCGTTTGTAACTTGAATGTACCTGAAAGTCAAAACTGGTTTGTTTTGTTTTCTTTTGCTTTGTTTATGTATTTCCAGGAGCACCGCAATCGTGTGTTCCACGATTTCCGAAATGGCTTATGCCGCAATCTTGTTTGCACTGGTAAGAGTTCCTAAACGTTTTCCTCTTTCTGAAGGTTGTGATCGAAAGCAGATTAGCCATTAGCCCAGATAGAATACACCGCTTGATTTGTAATACCATAAAGCAGTGGGCTTTTTGGTGAGACGTCTTTGTCGAGCCTGCATGTAGCAGGGTGCAGCACTGCTTTAGGCATGTAGATTTTTCTCACGACAAACCGTGAAGGGGCAACCTGCTAACAAATAGGTTTTCTGCACTAGTTATGCTTTCTGTATTTTTTGGCATGTGGGTGCTTTCTGGGTTGTTGGGCCATAAGCTTGACAAAATATCGGGAGAACTGTGGTTATCCACACCCGAGTAAGTTCTGATGATTCGTGAAATGTTTACGGCTCATCTTTTCTGAAGGTTTTCATCGTTTTGATGGGCCTGGGTACGATCCGTCCGTTGTACAGCCTGTTTGGGCAGTATCGTGGCAGTGTCTGCCGATCGCTACGTGCAGTTGGGTCGTCAACGAAAATCACCAGAAGCGGAATAAGAATAGTTGAGCTAGTGGGATGCAGTTCAGATCTCCAGTCCGCTGTGATATTGGCAATGCGCAGTTGGGTGAGGAGATGCTTGTACGAGACCACCTGCTCAGAAGTAGTCTAATGTGGAAAAAAACTACCTTTGTGCTGATGACGTTTCTGGCATAGTTGTGCAGAACTGGTGTTTCGGTCGTTGTTCTTGGATAAAGAGCAAGAAGAAGCCGTAACAGAATTATATGTAAATCGCCTTTGATACGAGTGAAGCTTATATCTGAAAAGTAGTGCAAGCCAGTGTTAATCATTGTTAATCTTTCCACCCTAAGTACTGTCAGCATTTGATCGCGAGGAAATTAACTTTCTTCATGACCCGGCTTGTCTTTCAGATCTGTTTACCCGAGGTATTGATATCCAAGCTGTGAATGTGGTGATAAACTTTGATTTCCCAAAGCTGGCAGAGACTTATCTCCATCGTATTGGCCGATCAGGTGAGAGATAAAACTCCTTTTAGGTACAACTTTGCTGATGACTGTGATGTTTCTTAGGCTGGAATTGGCTTCTGTTTTCTATTCCTGTATCTGGTAATTCTTTCAACTAGCTTAGATTTTTCGGACAAAATTATTTTTGGATATCATCTGAGATGGCGATCCTCACAAATACCCGGGTAAAGGGCGGTTGTCTTGAAACTGGCCTGAACGGCCTAACGAAGGAAAGCAAAGCCAAACCAAAGCGCATCTTTTGCTTTCATCTCAGGGGACTTACTGATACTCCTGTTTGCAGTTTGGGAAAGGTCTATAATGAAAACTTAGCGTCTGTGGTGTCTTAAGTGTAGTTTTCTTCCGCCTGTGTTCCAAGGTATGTTTCCGATGCCTGGACATCGGGAAAACACAGCCTTAGGAAAGGCGGTAAGGAAAGGAACTCGGTGTACTTGAGGTTTCTAGTTCAGGCTTGTTCAAGAACTCCGTTATCGAAGAGGGGCTGGATAATGCGGCAGCAGAAGAGGTTTCCTTGATTATCAGTGAGGGGGTTTGGTCAGAGCGTTTTTAATCTGCTGGGTTTTCCTGTTCCTATAGCAGTACAAAACTCCTTTCCAAAAACTGATGCGGAGGTTGTAAAGACCTGTCACAGGGTCTGCATTTGTTTTTATCATCAGTGTGTGTCGTTACTAACTCCAGTCTGCAGATTTTTTTTTTTTTTAGTCAGCCTTCTATTACTTGGTTCAGTCTTTTTTTTTTTTTTTTTTTTTTTTTCCCCTCCCCTCCCGTCTGGTTCAAGGTCGCTTTGGTCATCTTGGCCTGGCCATCAACTTGATCACCTACGATGATCGATTCAACCTGAAAAGTATTGAGGAGCAGTTGGGAACTGAAATTAAACCCATACCAAGCAACATTGACAAGAGCCTGTATGTGGCAGAATACCACAGTGAACCTGTAGAAGATGAGAAGCAGTAAACGTGTGCGTATGTAAATGCCTTTGTGAATAGAGAAGTTGTGTTGGAGGCGAGGAGAGCCGATGTGTGAACGTTGCCGCGGGGAAGAGGGAAATCGATGTGCTGAGGAGGCTCTGAATGCGAACGCGAGGGTTTGAAACACTGTCGGTGCAAAGAATTCTGAAGCTGGGAGGGGAGTAATTTTTAATGGTTTTAGTTGAAATGCAGGCAATACGCGAAGGAGACTGGAAACAGGGGAAAATGGGGAGCAGGGAAAGGAGTTTGGGGAGGCCAGGGTGGCTGCAAGTAGCCCTAAGGAAATCTTTGTGTATTGCTCAGCTAAAATGAGAAATTGTTGAGGGGCAGAGAGGGAGGTGGTCCTCATAAAGGTGAGGAGAGAAAACAGGTAGCTTTGAGAACAGAACACCGACGGAAGTCCCTAAGCACCTCGCCGGTTAGACGGAACGGGGTCGGGCTAAAGGTGCCACATCTTCTGCATCCTTTGGTTCATAGAACTCCTGCAAGGAAACAAAGTAGGTAGCGAAGCTGTAATTCCTCTTTGCTGCCGCTCGAGGTCGTATACACAGCTTTAAAAGAAAGGGAGGTTTTGCTGTCGGAGACTCCTAAGTGTGCCCTTTCTGATCATCGTCTGAGGAAGAACTGCCGAGTCGAGTCCTTTCAGGAGCAGAAAACTCGCCCTGGGTTGCAGTCAGGCGAAATAACTACAGGGCGATGCTTGATCTGGTTGTAGTTAAGGCGCTGTATTGCGCGAGCTCAGATGCCGTCGAGTTTGGCTTCGAAATCGTTCTTTTTTGTGCTTCTCTGAGGTGATGCAATAGAAGGAGAGTCCCAAGAAAGCTGCTGAAATTCTTCTTGGGTGACAAAAAAAAAGTGGCCGTTGAAGCTGACCGCTAGGTAGCGTTGAAATGAACCTGTGTCCCTTCTTTGAAACCATTGGCGGATAGCCCTAGCCAGTCATGCCAAGCTGACTTGCAGCCTCTGCTTTGCCGGCTGTGCTTTCTCCGTGTTTTATAAAGAAATTAAAACAAACCCCAGGGGATCAACTTGGAGAAGGCTCTTGGGTGGCTTCTTTAAGGGGAGTGCCGTGACTTTGCCCGAGAACTCTTTGCCGCTTCCCGAAGGACAGGAAACCAGTAGGTACAGTAGGGCGTTAGCGGCACCTCTGTCTGCGGGGCTGCGGTTGAGGTCGAGGTGTTCCAAATGCCCTTTACTTTTCCAAAGGTGCCACGTAGTCAGCGTGATTTGTGACTCGCGTTCTTGTTTTCCATGGAGTTGATTTAACTGTGGGTGTTGTGGTTTTTGTGTTTTTTTTTTTTGTTTTGTTTGTTTGTTTTTTCTTTAGGCTTTGATTACACATGCCAGAAGGTGAAGCCCTTTGATCCAGATCTGTGACACATTGTTTCCTTGGGGATACCCTTCTCTTTGTGGGTTTTTCTTCGTCTTTTCATTTCGGAACTATGAAGACTAAAGAGCTCGGCCTTTTTTTTCTTTTTAAATTTGGCAGTAAGGAAGAAAGAAGATAAAAAGGAGGAATGTCTTTTTGTTTTTCCACTTGTTTGCACTGTGTGCTGATTGAACATTAGTTGCACTAACTGCTGGTTTTAAATTTTTTTTTCTTTGGGTGGGAGGGGCAGCAAGGGAAGAAGAGAAACCCTGAAAAGAGAAGAATCTTGATGAACACGAGCTTGTCTGCGATTTCAAATTCTTCAACCATCGACTGAGTGCATTTCAACTTCTCCCTGGTTACTCATCTGTTTTTAAGCTAAAGAGCTTGTTACTTATTCGTGCAAAGTGCCTTATGCTATGAGACCATTCAGAATATCACCTTTCCGACAGCCCAAGGAATCGACAGCCGTTTTTGGTTTCAGGTCAAAGTTCCCCTCTCTTCCCCCTCTCCTCCTCCCCGAGTACTCAAGCCCAGGGCTGGGAGGTGAAACGTATTGGTAATACTACTTTTTTTCTTCAACTTTTTTTTTTTTTTCGTTTTGTTTTATTTGGAGGAGTTGATATGCATCTGCAGTTCACCCACACTGTAAATACCTGTATTTAAAATGAAACCAACTTAAAATCTGGGCTGATTAGGTGCAGCATCGTAGCTCCAGAAGGAAAGAGTAGCCTGTCATTCTTTGCAGGAGCCATAAGAAAAGCCCTATGCTCTAGCAGAACACTAAAGACTGGTTTCCATAAGAGTCTCCATTAGTAGTTACAGCACTTGATATGTAGACTTGTTTCAGAGCCATGGCCCTCTTTCCTCTGGTGCAGTGTGTCCCATAGAAAATCAGATGTGTATATTGTACAAACTTTGTAAATATGATTTTTTTTTTTTTTTTTTTTTTTCTCCTGTTTGGGGTCATATATAGCTTTTTCTTTTGTGATGAAGGTTGCTGGGGTTAAAGGGATTAGACTGATTATGGGAGCAGCTAAAGATGAGAGGGGCTCAGTTTCCTGCAACGCTAACCGAGGAGAAGTGCTCTGACCTCCGTGAAGAGCAGGCCTCTACAAGCAGCCCTTGTCGGGGTGGGTTTGCTCTGGCGCTAGCGACACTGTCCTGTACCGCTCGTACGGAAGAGATCGCTTGTGGGGCCGCAGGGCCTCCGAATCTGTAGCTCGGCCTGTTGGGAGATGCTCTTCGATTTCCCCCTTAGAAACTTCAGGAACTTGACAAGCTCTGAAGGGGGCCGTGACCTGTGTTCCACCGTGGCGTGAGGGAAATCGAGTGGGTGTCAGTGTTGCTGAGCAGTATGTGCGTAAGGTGTGGATTTGGCTTTGAGAGAAACCACGGAAAACCAATTTACATGCATCAACTGACAGTTCTGGAGCTCTGCGGGATCGAGTTACTTCCTGCAGCATTGTGCGTTTTCTGCCCAGAGCGGCCTCTATACAGACTTGGGAGCAGGCAGGGGCAAAGCAAGCTGCAGAAAGCTGCCTGCCGTCTCCTGTTTTGGCATGAACTGCTGTCTGTCATTTTGCATTGTATATTGCTGAAAAGCGCTTTCCGGTCAAGTGGTGTTGCTTGAAATTGTGCCCCTCCCAACATGCTTGATGTTTGGCCTGATCTACAGGCAAAAGGAGTGAGACAAATCAAAAACCGTACTCTTTTTAAAAATTCCCTTTTAGCCTGTTCACCAACACTGTCAGGAGGCACCTGGACGAACGCAGTCCCCTTTGCTCCGTCGTTTTATTGCGTATACAGATGCTGCACTCACACCACGCTTGCTTACCTTTGAGGCAGGAATTAATTGTCTTAATTTCTCCCCGTTTGGACCCTTTCTCTTCTTTCAAATTCGAGTACAAATGTTTGGAAGTCCAGGGCGGACTTACCCGTCCGTTTCCGTGAGGATCATAAGTAGAAGCCAGGTGCCTCCTGACAGCAACTTTACAAGATGGAAAGGGGTTTGTGTTTGGGATTTTTTTTTTTTTTTTTTTTTTTTCCTTTTGTCAGCAGTGACTCCGTAATTGTAGCAAATGCTGCACTAGAGTACAAACTCAAGAGCTTGGTCACAGACACTCTGTGAGCCACACAGCTTACATCTGACTGGCAGGTACTAAATGTAAACAATTTTGGGGTGCTTCTTGGGGGCGGGGGGTGGGAGTCTGTGGGTGGTAACTTTGACCAAAAGTAAAATCTTGCTCTTGTACTGCAGCCAGCTTACGATTTTCCAGAGACAGACGAGGGATCATTTTAGTGCAACGAAGACATGAAAAATGTAAATAAAAGTTTTGTATCTTACCAGGGCATGCACATGTAATGAGAACAGGATAGCAATGTCGAGTCAGACGTGTGTGCTCTGCTTGGATTTGTGGTAGGTTAGCCTTGTGCCATGCGTTGATGGTCCCTCCTGAAGCACAGAACTTTTGAAAGTATTACTTTAAACTTGGCCTCTAGTTGAGGATTGGCACTTAACCTAAACTATCGGGGGCACCGTTTGTAGGTGGCTTCTTGTCGAGAAGGAAGCAGCCTATTTTTGGTGCTAGTAGGCTATCTCTAACAGATGCGATCATGCAAATGGAAAGATGCTCCAAAGGACTAGGATAATCCTAGTGTTTTTGTTTGGGGGGGTTGTTTTGTTTTGTTTTGTTTTGTTTGTTTGTTGTTTTTTTTTTGTTTTTTTTTTTTCTTTTTTTAATTATTTTGGGGCGGGGGTTTTTTTGTCCTTGTTTTCCCTACCCAGGAGCGAGGAGCATGTATAAATCTCGGCTTCCCGAGATTCCTTGCAAGCTCCTGCTTTTGCTGGTCACGTACCAGCCCTTGCATTTCTGCGTCAGCTGGAGCCTTCAGTCATGAGCCCTAGGTCAAATACTTCCTCTGATGACCGAGAATCTGACATATGCTGCACTTTTCCCCTCGGAAGTATAAAAGTGTCGCTCCGTCATTCGGATGAAATGGAGCTTCACAGCTGGGTGAAGCGGCTGGGAAGGCGGTGACGGGAGTCTTCGGCCAGCTTACTCGGGAGAAACCGTAGGCTGGTCTCTGGGTGGGCGCCGTCGGGGGGTGCGCTACAGTTGCTGGAGGGCTTTTCCCCAAGGGAGGGGGGTGGGCTGGTCTCAAATAAGAGTTTCAAATTCCAGAATGAGATGGGAGCATCTTTCCTTTGCCCTCTGTGACGTTCTTTATGGGTAAGAACAGGGAAGCTCAACATGAATTCATGTTGTGTACACGTTGGTATCAAATCATCTCATTCTGATCTTTTGTTCTTTATTTTTACTTGGGATGGGGGAGGGTGTCTGCTCCGAGAATTTAAAAATGCTTCGCACACTCACGTTTGGTTTTTGTCAGATGGCTGATAGGACACAAACCCGAGCAGATGGCTGTCCTGCCTCGGTTTCTGTTCTAGTGGTTACGGAGATGCCGTGCCACGTCTCCCGAGCCGCCGTTGCGGTGGTTCTCGTCCCGGGGCTGGACTTGGTCATGCTGCTGGGGCCGAGCAGCTGTTGCTCTCGGAGGACGAAGTGACTTTCGTTCCCGGGAACTCCAGCGGTACGGCCGCCACCGTGAAGGCTGGGCAACGGTAGTCTCTGCGGGGAGTTTTCCCGTTTGCTGTGAACTGCTGGTCCATCTTTTGGGAATCGCAGTTTCGCTTCACAGTAAACCAGGTCTCCGGACCAGAGAGCACGCATCCGATCTTCGAAGTGAGGCCTTGGCAGATTATCCTAGAGGTTTTGCTCTGTTCACCGTTGCGTTGTTAAAAGGTCCCTGTGTGGAAGCATTGTTAAATTCTGCTGTAGACAACTTAGGGACGGGTAAGGAGGGGTGGGGGGAGGGATGGGTTTATTAAGATACGGCCTTGCTGTATTTTAACCAATAATAACGGGGAAGGGGTGTCAGGAGAAGAAAATAGTCACTGTTCCCTTTATTGAAAGAAACTGGAACTTTTATTTCAAGAAAAGAAATTATTTGACATTGGGGTGGAATATCAATCCACCGGTCCCTAGTCAAGACGTTGGTGTTCCTACTGTTAACCAGCAAACAACATGGACTAGTTCTTGAAAACATTCAGGGGAGGGAGGGGAAAATTGGCTTTCTGTTCAATTGGTAACTGGCAAACTCCAGTGGAGCTCAGATTTTGTTGAGAATGTATTCTTTCTGGCTGTATGTGCGTTGTGGCGCTGACTTGTGAAGAGCTTCACGAGTGCGCAAAAGATGAATGGTAAAACCCTGATTTTGTTGATTAAACTCAATAAAAGCTCCCTGGAACTCCGATGGGGTCTCACTTTTTCTTTGCCCTGCGCCGAGCGAGAAGCGTACCGACCTCCTCGTGGAGAGCCCCAGCACGTGCCGGACGCCTCCGCCGAGCTTCGGAGGGAAGCCACGAGAAGAGTCTTCTCTGCCCACGGGAGTGACGCACGGCCGCAAGAGGCGTTGTCTGCCCGTAGAGACCCTCCGGCCTAGGTGGTGTGTGCTCCTCCACGGCCCGGTGCTCTGCAGTCGCATCTCAGCTAGACCAGTGGACTTTTACCTGCCTTCCGGTTGCGGTGCCGATTTAGCCCTGACTCTGACGACGAGAGTTTCTGCAAGGGGCCGGATGCAGAAGCCTGCTGGGGCTGTCCGTTGACGTCTTCCACCGAGAGTCAGCCCTGAGCCCTGCCTTGCTGACGGCTTGCGTGCCAGGAAGCCTCTCGTGTGTGCTGCGGCTCCGGTCACGTTGGTTTGCGGGCAGAGCGGCTGGGTGAGTTGTTCTTCCACAGGTAAACCGGCTTGTGCTCTCAGCTGAAGTGTCTGTGAAAGGTGCACTGCTTTTTCTTGCTTGCCTCTTGGGCAGCTAGAAAGGAAGGAAAAGCTGCTGCCACGCTTCGGGATATATATGAATGCTGTGTTCCCGGTCCACTGTCGGTTCTTTTCTTGCAACCGGAATAGGTGAGCACCTTCAGCAGTTAAAATGAGGAGCGAGGTAAAAACTATGCTGGAAGAGGCCTTGTAAAACACCTGGTGTGCACAGCTAAAATGCAGCGTGGCAGATGTTAAGAGTGAGACTGCAGATTTTCGTCCCCTCTTTTAAGTTCGGGGGGGGGGGGGGGGGGGGGGGGGGGGGGGGGAGGGGAAGGCTTGTCATGTTTAAAGCGCCTCTTGAACCTTAGGCTGGCAGTGCTGTGAAAGCTCTGAAAGTAGTTTGTAAGCCGTGACCGAGAACAGCGGGAGACCTTCCCAAGACTGGAACTTGCTGGCTGCTAGCTGAAAACCTCACAGGTAAGCGCCCGGCACAAACGCGGCAGCGATTGTTTATGCTGTTTCTGAGTGAGCGGATCCCGGAGGAGTTCCATCCGTTCGATTCTTTGGATGGAGCCGGCCTGGTTTGCAGTAGGTGCGCTCAAGCAGCAGTCAGGGTTACGGAAAACTCGAGACACTTTCTCTACTCCTTAGTGAAGAAAAGGAAATGAAGACTGGAATGAAAGTAATTCAGAAGGACTGATTTTTGAAGGTTTTCTAAATTTGGGTGGGGTGTGGGTTTCAGAGGGCCGTGCCGTCACCTGCTCTCGGTCAGAAATGCCATAGACGGAAGCATGGCGATGAGCCCTGGACATTCCTCCAAATGAAAGTCTGATGAGAAATCAAGTGCATTTAGTCTGGTTTAGAGGTGTAAACTGACAGTCCCGCCACGTGAGGAGCTCAGCTGTACTAGCATCACCGGGAGGGCTGCAGCCAGCCCCGGCTGTGGCACGGTGCAAAGGACACCGCGGCAAGTAGTGCCGGAAACGGAGACTGAATGCCGGACTTGGCGCACAGCAGGGAAGGATGCTGCTAGCCTGGGAGCCTCTGTCCTTGCTGCAGCCGGTTCCTGGGACGGGCCTGGGGCTCTGCAGGGTCCCTGCGCGTCAGCCCTGCCGCTAGAAAGCGAGGGGCAGCGCCTGCAGCGGAAGGGCTTGTGGGCCGGCGGGATCGGGCCGCTGCTTGCTTGTGACCAACCGGTGGAAGGTGCTGCTGGGGGTTGCAGGCTGGGCCGCGCCCCTTTAGTAGCGCCCGGCGAGGTTCTGTCCCCGTGGCCGGCAACCCACTCGCCCTCGGCAAGGTGCGGAGTCACTGCAAGGCCTGGCTGCCCGCTGGGCTGAGAGGCGAGGCCAGGCCGCGAGGCGGCCGCCGGGGCCCGCGCGAGGCCGCAGAGCCGTCCCGGGCGGCGCCGGCGGCCGCCTGGGACGCGCCGCCTCCACGCGCATGCGCAGTGCGGAGCATCACGCGCCGCCGTACGTGCTCCGCCTCGTGACCTGAAGGCGCAGGGAAGGCGGTCACGTGAGAAGAGAAGAAGGTGGCGGGGGGCGGGGCTGGCCCGTCCCGTCCCCAACATGGCTGCCTACCTGCAGTGGCGCCGATTCGTGTTCTTTGACAGGGAGACGGTGAAGGAGCCGCCGGGGCTGGATGGGGCCGGTGGGAAGCCCTTCGCGCTTCCCCCGGGCATCGCGGTTTGCGACTCGGGCCGGGGAAGTCTCGTGTTCGGAGATATCCTGCGCGGCGGCTGGAGCCGGCGGTGCTGGCCGCGTGGGGCTCGGTGGGGCTCGGTGGGGCTCGGGGCAGTACCTGGCGCGGCTCCCGCGCGGGCTCGGGGGCGCTCCAGCCCTGGGAGCGCGGTAGCTTCCTGCTCTGGGCTGTCCTTTGCCCGGTAAGAAGAAATGCCGCTGTGTGTTTCGGTGCTCTCGGGTTGCTCTGCAGGCGCGTGCTTCCCGTAGCCTCAGCAGAGGTCAGCGAGAAGCAAGGGTTATAGTTTTGCGCTCTGGTAGGATTGCAGGTGTGGATTTCCGCCGCCCCTCTTCTTTGTGTGCCTTAACTGTGATCTACATATGGAAGGTCAGATTTGGTTTTTGCCTCGCTCCCTTCAGCTCAGTAGTTTCCAGGCTTACAAGCTGAGGGTAACGCATCTGTACCAGCTGAAACAGCACAGTATCTTGGTTTCCGTCGGTGAGGATGAAGAGGGTATTAACCCCTTGGTAAGTTAATAACCGAGCGAGGAAAGTGCATTTGTGTTATGGCTCTTTCCTGAGACTTCTGCGATTACCGCGGCTGGCCTTTCTTGCCTTAAGTAGCTCATTCTGGGCACTGTTACATCTGATGCCGGGTCTTGGCCTGCAACTACCTCACGTTTTGCTTATGCCACATCACTGTCATTTGTAGGTTAAAGTCTGGAACCTGGAGAAACGAGATGGTGGCAATCCTCTTTGCACACGAATCTTTCCAGCAATACCAGGTAACAAGCCCACAGTGGTATCCTGCCTTACTGTCCACGAGAATCTTAATTTCATGGCTATCGGTAAGTAAACCTGAACTGTCATAGCTTAAGAAAAGAAAAATAAGTTTCTTAAAAATAAGGAAAATCTTACGGTCCTCGCTCAGATGAAAGGAAAATGAATAGATAGCATGAGAATCGGCATAGAACATCCCGACAGTTCTTCTTCTCGTGCAGTTTTTAGGTAATTCTCACAGAGAGATAGCATATCCTGTGCTGTCTGAGAGCTTGAGAAGGTAAACGCGTAAGTTTAGCCTGACTCTGTGTGTATTACAGTGATCATTTCGATACTTAAAAGAGAGGCGCGTCGTTTCAGTTGATGTCATCTCTCCCCACCAGCCAGTAATGTTACACGTGTATTGCTCTTGGTACGAAATTTAGCTTTTGTTGTAGTACAGGTAAAAACAGGGGGTTTTGTGATGACCTGATGTTACAGACTGCTTTTTTTTTTTCAAGCCCAGTATAGAAACCCTTTTTGAAAACAGAAAAGCCAATTTCCCTTTTTGGATTTAACCATTCCTTCGTAGTATTCCTGGCTTAACTTCTGACAGAGTGAGACCAGTAATGTTGTGAGGTTACACGCGCTTTCGGTGAGTTGCTCCCTGCGCTGAAATCAAAAAGCTTTCCATATGTGTGTTGTGGGTTTCCACCCTGCCTCAGCTTGCAGGACTGGGCCTCTTGGTGAGCTCTGAAAAGTGGACGTTGTACAATTGGTGGATGAAAGAGCTATTTGTAAAACGACCTGCAGATAAACGCAAAGAAAAATAGCCTGCGACGGAAGTTTGCGTGCGCAAAGCAAGTTGAAGCTTGCTGAACAGTGACATCCTGTGTGCGGTTGGGTGAGGGCTCTGTGCCCTAACAGGAGTGATTGGGGGTGGCTCGGCGCGTACTTCCTGGACACGAGAACCCGCGTCAGTCCCATTACTTAGCACCTCGCTGGTGAGCAGGGTGTTGTCGCTGTCTGGAGTTGCCCTAACCGACGCTGGATGATATTTCAGGTGTGTCGTATAAGTAACAGTTCAGTCTGTTCCCTTCACCAGGTTTTGCGGATGGGAGTGTTGTGCTAACCAAAGGAGACATCACTCGAGACCGGCACAGTAAGACCCAGGTCCTCCATGAAGGCAGTTACCCGGTTACCGGCCTTGCTTTCCGGCAGTCTGGCAAAACAACGCATCTATTTGTGGTGACCACAGAGAACATCCAGGTGGGAAGTTAACTGGAAAAAACGAGGCTCTGACTTGCAAATTGCGTTGGTTTCAGAGTCGAGTTCGGGGCAGTCCCCAAAACCTTGTGTTTCCTCTGTAGTCTTATACGCTCTCAGTGAAGGACTGTCCTCACCTGGAGCTGGACACTCACGGCTGTGGATTGCGCTGTTCGTCCCTCAGTGACCCCTCCCAGGATCTCCAGTTCATTGTGGCGGGAAACGAATGTGTGTACCTTTATCAACCGGACGAACGTGGCCCCTGCTTTGCCTTCGAGGGACAAAAGCTGATTGTTCACTGGTATCGGGGGTACCTCATCATTGTCTCCAAGGACCGGAAGACTTCTCCGAAGTAGGGCTCCTCGGAACAGACGAGTTCTTTTCGCTCTTGCCGTTTCCTGCTTTCCCTCTTTTTCTTTCTTCCCTGTGAGGTTTTGCTCTTGAGGGCCGATTGCAGCTTTGTCAGAGGCGGCATAGGGTTCACCCGGGCCCACGTATCAATTAACTTCCACTGTGAGAGTGGCACAGTGAAGCCTGCTGAATGGCGGGACTTTTTTGCCGGTCCTGTGAATTTCTCTATCTAACGCATAGCTGGAATTCACGCATATATACGTGGTGGTTTGCCTTTGAGTCTGCTTTGCTTCACCGCCCGCGCAAACCCTGTTTGTCTTGCTCTCTGCACATCCCTAGTTTGCATAGGTATCGAGAATGAAAGTTACGCTCTCCTTGTTTTCTAAAACTTTCTTCTGCTCTTCAGGTCAGAGTTTGCTGGGAACGAGGCACAGAATT